GTAAAATTATGATAAATAGGTACAAAAACAACAGATATAATCTTTTTTTGATTAAAGTTAAAGTCTGTAATGTATCTAAGAAATTGATGTAATTTATAATGGTATATTCAACTGATGAATCCAAAGTGGGACGAAACATGAATCCTATTTTTCACTGCTAGCCATATTAAATTTATTATGTTTACAAGGAGTTTGAAATAATTTTACTTGGGAGTGTTATGCAACATAACTACGCCTGTAGACCCTTCGGGGCTACTGCCGGTTCCAAGCCTGGATAAAGGAGGAAGGTTGGGCATGGAGTTGGTGATCCCATCCGTCAAAAACTAACTTGCCAGAAAAATGCTAACCAGAACAAATAATTCAAACCATTTTAACTCTGCCCTGGGAGTTAGAAGAAGAATTATGACGTCACGTGATTAAAGCCGAGTTCCCTCGGAAGTCACAGGGCCGATGCCTCTTCTGACAATCAGAGCGACCATTCGTTTAGGTACATGGAACGTTCGTACATTGTGGGAGACTGGAAGACTATTTCAAGTTGCGGCAGAAATACGAAGATACAACCTCGGTGCTTGGAAGAATGTGAGAACCAAGAGAGGAGCTGATATAGCTTCAGATCACCACTTGCTGGTCGCTAAAATAAAACTGAAACTCAAAAAACACTGGATAACGGGGCAGACAACATCACACAAGTTTAATACAGCCTTTCTGCGGGATACCGTAAAACTCAACGAATTCAAGATAGCCCTCACCAATAGGTTCCAGGCCTTGCGGAATCTACTCAATGGAAAGGAAGCAACATTGGAGAAGAATTCGATAGAGATCAAACAGGCAATCACTTCAACATGTCACGAAGTTCTGGGTCGCAAGAAGTACCATCACAAGGAATTGATCTCTGTTGATACTCTTGCGAAAATTGAAGAAAGGAGGAACAAAAAGGCAGCAATCAACGTCAGCCGAACAAGAGAAGAGAAAGTTAAGGCACAAGCTGCGTACATAGAAGCAAACAGGGAAGTGAAAAAGAGCATCAGAGCTGACAAACGAAAATATCTGGAAGATCTAGCAATGACGGCGGAAAAGGCTGCAAGAGAAGGAAACTTGAGACACTGGTACGAAACAACAAAGAAGCTCGCCGGACACTATCGTAAACCAGAACGACCAGTGAAAAGCAAGGAAGGCAAAGTAATCAGCAACACTGAAGAACAGCGAAATAGGTGGGTGGAGCACTTTAAGGAACTCCTGAATCGACCAGCTCCACTGAACCCACCCAACATCGAAGCAGCATCCACGGACCTACCAATTAATATTGGCGCACCTACAATTGAGGAGATCAGTATGGCCATCAGACAAATCAAGAGCGGCAAAGCAGCAGGACCAGACAACATTCCAGCAGAGACAATGAAAGCAGATGTGGAGGCAACTGCAAATATATTTCACATCCTCTTCAAGAAGATTTGGGATGAGGAACGAGTACCATCAGATTGGAAAGAAGGATACCTCATCAAAATACCAAAGAAAGGTGATATCAGCAAGTGTGAGAACTACAGAGGCATCACTCTTCTTTCAATACCAGGCAAAGTCTCCAACAGGGTATTTTAAAACAGAATGAAGGACTTCGTAGACGTCCAACTCCGAGACAAACAGGCTGGATTTCGTAAGGATCGATCGTGTACTGACCAAATTGCTACGTTACGGATCATTGTGGAACAATCAATTGAATGGAACTCACCACTCTATATCAACTTCATCGACTACGAGTAAGCATTCGATAGCGTGGATAAGAAAACACTGTGGCGGCTTCTTCGACACTACGGTGTGCCTGAGAAAATAGTTAACATCATGCGGAATTCTTGTGATGGATTCAACTGCAAAATCGTACACGTAGGACAGCTAACAGACTTGTTCGAGGTGAAGACCGGTGTCAGTCAAGATTGCTTACTGTCACCCTTTCTCTTTCTTCTGGTCATCGGGTGGATTATGAAGACGTCAACATCTGGAGTGAAGCACGGTATCAACTGGACAGTTAGGACGCAGCTGGACGATCTGGATTTCGCAGATGATCTGGCTCTTCTATCGCACACGCAACAACAAATGCAAGAGAAGACGACCAGTGTAGCAGCAGCCTACGCAGCAGTAGGTCTCAACATACATAAAGGAAAAAGCAAAATTCTCCGATGCAACACAACATGCACCAACCGACTCACGCTTGATGGAGATACCTTGGAGGACGTTAACACCTTTACATATCTTGGCAGCATCATCGACAATCAAGGTGGATCCGACGCAGATGTGAGGGCGCGGATTGGCAGAGCAAAGGCTGCATTTCTACAGTTGAAGAATATCTGGAACTCCAAACAACTTTCAACCAAAACCAAAACCGGGATTTTCAATACAAATGTGAAGACAGTTCTTCCGTATGGGGCAGAAACTTGGCGAACTACGAAAGGCATCATCCAGAAGATACAGGTGTTTATTAACAGTTGTCTACGCAAAATACTTCGTATTCGTTGGCCAGACACTAACAGCAACAACGTATTGTGGGAGAGGACAAACCAGATTCCTTGAGTGGAGGAAATCAGGAAGAAGTGGTGGAAGTGGATAGGACACACACTACGAAAAGCACCTAACTGCGTCACAAGACAAGCCCTCACATGGAACCCCCAAGGCAAAAGGAAGGCCAAGGAACACATTACGCCGAGAAATAGAGAAAGATATGAGAGGAATCAACAAACATTTGACAGAACTGGAAAGGGAAGCGCAGGACAGACAGAGTTGGTTAGAGAAAACTGGTGGGTGGCCTATGCTGCATTGAGGGTAACAGGCGTAAGTAAGTGTTATGCAACATTATTCCAGTAATAATCAAGGCAGCTAACATAATAGCTTTGAAGAAATTTGCTGTAGTAGAGTTTTAACTACCATTTACCAGATCACTTGATCTGTTTATTTGTATCGACTTATGTCAAAATTGTCTCCAATCACAATTGCAGGATATGAAAATTTAATGTGTTTTACGATTAATATTATTAAGTATTGTGATAATTCATTATCATAGAGTAAAGAAGAACTCATAGTTATGCACCGAGTAATATTATTCTTTTTTAAGTTCCACACAACGCATTCTTTGTTTGATTCATCTTTGTGTTCTGTTCAATAATCAAGTAGGTATTTCAAATAGAACTTTTTTAGGCCAAAACGTTACATTGATTCGAAAATCAATACAAAAATAATAGACCAGTAAGGAAACTCATCAAGTGACATTACCGATCGTTCACAAACAACAATCATTCATTACAGTTAAGTAAAAGAAATTAGAGTTATCAGTAGTATATGTAAACAGCCGTTATTTGCAAATCGAATGAAGCAGTATTGTCCAAGTATAGGTTTGTACAAGAATGATCTAACCGATCTTGATACATGTATTTTGATTACAAATTTAAAATCGTGAATCAATCAAAGTTAGACCATCCATTAGAAACCTGGAAGCACTGGACGGCCTTTCCATCCTGATGTAGGACTCTCATCAGCAGTGCTCATCAACAACTCCTTCACCACGCAGGATTCGAACCCAGGCGCTTCGGTCTTGCATGCGAACGCCGAAACTCTGAGCCGCTATCTAACAGTGTTAATGTCTAACTTTGATCAATTCACGGAGTTGCGCAACCTTATACACTGTCTTCGGTAGTTACTATCTACACTCGAACAGATTGAACTTCACTGGTCAGAACTTCCAATTTTCTAATGGTCGTCTAATATTGATCGATTTCATGATTTCAAATGTGTAACTTACTAATCTTTACAACTCTGCAATGCAATGTATTTCGGTGTTTGATTTTCTTAGCTTCTAAACAATATCATTAGTGCCTACTAGGGGTTAGGATTGAAAAATATCCATATCTAGGCTGTAAATCATCTACCTCAATATCAAAACTTGATGTAGCTTTCAGAAATAATAATAATAAAAACAATTTAACATTGTCATTTTTAATCAAAACCCCCAAAACTTTATTCTCCATCAAAAATTAAATGCAACCAATTATTAATTCATAAATCCGAAAAAAAAATTATTTTGAAAAAAAACAAAATCAAAGCAAAATATTTAGATAAATTAACAAAAGAAAGACTTAAAAATTGAAAAAAAACGTGTTTTGTTCATTTAAACAACCAAAAAAGGCGGGAAAATTAAACAGTAGAAGTAGAAGAAGTAGAAAGAATGAATACTAAAACACAATTATCAATATTTATTAGTTTATGATTAAAGCTCAATGATTATTACACATGACATCAAAAAAAAAATGGAACTGAGCAAAGAAAAAAAACAAATTCTAAGCATACATAATACTGGTTTCATAATAGTAGTAGTAATAAGTAGTAATAATAATAAGTAGTAAGTAATGCAATATAACTAACAAACAGTCAAATTACCATTTTCAAATGACTAATGATTATGTACAGAAAAACAAAACAAAATGCAACTAAATGACAATGATGATCATCGCTGTTTATTAAACCAGTCATAACTTATTGTTATTTTATAGAAATCAAAAACAATAGTATTTCAACATACATTACATTAGGTTAAATCTACATTAAGGGAAAAAAAGATGGTTTTGTTATGCTTTTCGTTTAAGTAGGTAGAGGTATAAATAAGCACCAAAGACAGTAAGTAAATCATAATTATGTGATGATAATAATAATAATGGTGATTATGAGAAATGCAATGATTTTTTCATTGTTATAAGTTAGTAAAATGATTTATTGATTATTTTTTGTAAACAGTACAATAACAGATAGATAGACAGACAGACAGACAGAGAGAGAACACATTAAAACAACTACAAATAATTAAAAAGTCAAAGAATAAAAATGATTCAATGTAAAGAACGCATTGAATATTGAACAAGAAAAGTGAGAATAATGAAAAAAATTGAATTAATTTTGATTGTGTATTGTGTGATTTATCATTTTTACTAATCGAGTACGTTTAAAACAAAATTTTTGATTTTTTAATAAACCCATGTAACTGGTATCCATTGTGGATTAATTTGAAAATTATCTATAGCATGTTTTAATTGTATAATTGTTTGTTCAATATCATTATTAATTAATTTTAAATCAAAATAATGTTTATAATGTTGTTCTAATAATGTACTTTCATGTGTTAAACGTTCAAGACTTCCATCCTATTATGTGGGAAAATAAACAAATAAACAATGAATCAGGTTCTTTTTTTAAAAGGAATGTGTCAATTGAAACATTGAGCGTTTGGCGCGTAAGTTTTAATTCATTCAAGTTACCATACCATATTAGGCGGCGGAAGTAGATGAAATTATGAAATCGAATTGTCGGTGTTATGTTATGTTTCAAGGAAAAGAGAAATGGAGACAGACATGAGAAGAATGAAGAACAATAATTAGATAGAAATGGAAAGGGAGGAGCCCAATGTAGAGTAGGTTGGAGAATGCTGATCGACGGCCTATGATACATTCGGGGGGGGGGTAACAGGCGTAAGTAAGTAAGTCAGTAAGTTAGAAGTGGTAACAGTATTCGAGGTAATGGAAAATATTTGGAGTTGGGAGATAAGATTTGAGAAAAAGTTAACCAGTGAAAAAAATTTTATGCAAAGAATAAAATGTAAAATTTTAAAGAAACGTTTATGTCTGTGGTCATCATTATCCTCACATGGTGTATTTTTACTTTTCATTTATATTCTTCATTATCTAACTAGTTGCACACTTCTTAATCAGTTAGTCAGTCACTCACTCAGTTACAACACAGAACTTCGTACGTACGTACATCAGTTCAGGTTGTCATACCGCATTAGCACAGAGATGTGACTGTTAGTTTAAATCCAATAGTGGTAGAGATAGTGGAAGTATTAGCAGTAATGGAGAAGATTAGGATATAATTCAGTGAGATAAAGTTAGAAAGAGCAAGATAGAGATGATGAGGAATTCAGAAGGTTAGAATTTGAGAGAACACAATGAATGGATACATCTCAGCTATTGCAAGCGATTTTGAGTCATGTCATTCAAAGTCTTTAACCATTGGTGACTTTCGTCTCGCTGACCCCAACCAGGTAGCCTATATCTACGAACATGACTCAGTTCACTTGTTAGTCATTTCATGGATTTGTGCCATGTTTTGGTTTGGCTGCCACTAACTTTATTCCAACCTACTCCTACACCACAAAACATCGCTCGTCGAGGCATTCAGTGGTTATGCATACGTAACACATGTCCCAACCTCCTCAACTAATGAGGTTTATTAATCCAAGTTTGACCTACCACCTCCAATGAGGAACTATTGACTGAAACTTTCATTATTGTATTTTATCATTCTTATCACTACTAACAGTATACCTGTCTTCTTAATATCAACTTATACTTTTATCTGTGATGTGTAGTGACGTAATCTCTATTTCATTGTAACCAGTGACCAATAATAAATTGCTTAATAAAAATGCTGGAAGCGATTAAGACACATATTGAGGAATTCATGCAACTGTTCAGAATCCTTAAGCCTACAAGAATAAAAGAAGACTGAACAACGCATTATGTTGTGAATTAGAGGCAGACATCAAAAGAATGAATAGCAACTAGGAACGAATTTCTAAAGAAAAGCCTATGATAGAGTCGGTTGAAGAAAGCTAGTCGGCGGCCTCTACTATTCATGAAGAGTATAACAGGAGTTGTGGTGCGCGCTACTGATAAGTATTATATGACGCGAATGTAAACGTAATGTCTGGCAGCAGAAAATGGGGGAAGATCAAGAAAGGAAGAGTTAGAACACAATGGAATTTGTATGAAACACATGAATAGTGACAATGGATTGATGTTTTGCAACAGGAACAGTCCAGTTCGATATGATGAACTGTTATTTTGCAAATGAACGATTTACGATATGGTTTTCCTATTTTACTGAGTAACTCTGTAATTTTCCTTAAATACAATTCGGTTTCCCTCACCTGTGTTCTCCTTCACTACAGCTTACTTACTTACTTACGCCTGTTACCCCCAATGGAGCATAGGCCGCTCACCAGTTTTCTCCAACCAACTCTGTCCTGGGCTTCCCTCTCCAGTTCTGTCAAATGTTTGTTCATTCCTCTCATATCTTTCTCTATTTCTCGGCGTAGTGTGTTCCTTGGCCTTCCTCTTTTCCTTTTGCCTTGAGGGTTCCATGTGAGGGCTTGTCTCGTGACGTAGTTGGGTGCTTTTCGTAGTGTATGTCCTATCCACTTCCACCGCTTCTTCCTGATTTCCTCCTCCACTGGAATCTGACTTGTTCTCTCCCACAGTTCGTTGTTGCTGATGGTGTCTGGCCAATGAATACCAAGTATATTGCGTAGACAACTGTTCATAAACACTTGTATCTTCTGAATGATGGCTTTGGTATTGCCCCATGTTTCCGCTCCATACAGTAGAACTGTCTTGACATTTGTATTGAAAATTCTGATTTTGGTTTTGGTTGAAAGTTGTTTGGAGTTCCAGATATTTTTCAGTTATAGAAATGCAGCCCTTGCTTTGCCAATCCGCGCCCTCACATCTGCGTCGGATCCACCTTTCTCGTCGATGATGCTGCCAAGATATGTGAAGGTGTTAACGTCCTCCAAGGTATCTCCATCAAGCGTGAGTCGGTTGGTGCATGTTGTGTTGCATCGGAGAATTTTGCTTTTTCCTTTATATATGTTGAGACCTACTGCTGCAGAGGCTGCTGCTACACTGGTCGTCTTCTCTTGCATTTGTTGTTGAGTGTGCGATAGAAGAGCCAGGTCATCTGCGAAGTCCAGATCGTCCAGCTGCGTCCTAACTGTCCAGTTGATACCGTGCTTGCCTCCAGATGTTGACGTCTTCATAATCCAGTCGATCACCAGGAGAAAGAGAAAGGGTGGGAGTAAGCAACCTTGTCTGACAACGGTCTTCACCTCGAAAGAGTCTGTTAGCTGTCCTCCGTGCACGATTTTGCAGCTGAATCCATCATAAGAATTCCGTATGATGCTGACTATTTTCTCAGGCATACCGTAGTGTCGAAGAAGCCTCCACAGTGTTTTCCTATCCACGCTATCGAATGCTTTCTCGTAGTCGATGAAGTTGATGTAGAGTGGTGAGTTCCATTCTATTGATTGTTCCACAATGATCCGTAATGTAGCGATTTGGTCAGTACATGATCGATCCTTACGAAATCCGGCCTGTTTGTCTCGGAGTTGGGCGTCTACGAAGTCCTTCATTCTGTTTAACAATACCCTGTTGAAGACTTTGGCTGGTATTGAAAGAAGAGTGATGCCTCTGTAGTTCTCACACTTGCTCAGGTCGCCTTTCTTTGGTATTTTGATGAGGTATCCTTCTTTCCAATCTGATGGTACTTGTTCCTCATCCCAAATCTTCTTGAAGAGGATGTGAAATATTTTCGCAGTTGCTTCCACGTCTGCTTTCATTGCCTCTGCTGGAATGTTGTCTGGTCCTGCTGCTTTGCCGCTCTTGATTTGTCTGATGGCCATACTGATCTCCTCAATCGTAGGTGCAACATTATTAATTAGGAGGTCCTTGGATGCTGCTTCGATGTTGGGTGGGTTCAGTGGAGCTGGTCGATTCAGGAGTTCCTTAAAGTGCTCTACCCACCTATTTCGCTGTTGTTCAGTGTTGCTGATTACTTTGCCTTCCTTGCTTTTCACTGGTCGTTCTGGTTTACGATAGTTCCCGGCGAGCTTGTTTGTTGTTTCGTACAATTGTCTCAAGTTTCCGTCTCTTGCAGCCTTTTCCGCCGTCATTGCTAGATCTTCCACATATTTTCGTTTGTCAGTTCGGATGCTCTTCTTCACTTCCCTGTTTGCTTCTGTATACTCGGCTTGCGCCTTAACTGTCTCTGCTCTTGTTCGGCTGACATTCACTGCTGCCTTCTTGTTCCTCCTTTCTTGAATTTTTTCAAGAATACCAACAGAGATCCATTCTTTGTGATGGTGCTTCTTGCGACCAAGGACCTCCTGACATGTTGAAGTGATTGCCTCCTTAATCCCTTTCCAATCGTTCTCCAATGTTGCTTCCTCTCCATTGAGTAGATCCTGAAAGGCCTGGAACCTATTGGTGAGGGCTATCTTGAATTCGTTGAGTTTTACGGTATCCCGAAGAAAGGCTGTATTAAACTTCTGTGATGTTGTCTGCCCCGTTGTCCAGTGCTTCTTTAACTTCAATCTCATTTTGGCGATCAGCAAGTGGTGATCTGAGGCTATATCAGCTCCTCTCTTGGTTCTCACATCCTCCATGGTCCTTCTGATTTTTTTGTTGATACAGATATGGTCAATTTGGTTTTGAGTAGTGTGGTCCGGTGAAATCCATGTGGCTTTGTGAATGCGTTTGTGCGGGAATATTGTGCCACCGATGACCAGTTTGTTGAAGGCACATAGGTTTGCAAATCTCTCACCGTTTTCGTTCCTTTCTCCCAGTCCATGTCGTCCCATGATGTCTTCATATCCAGTGTTGTCCATGCCAACCTTGGCATTCAGGTCTCCCATAAGAATCGTCAAATCCTTTGGTGAACATTTATCGACGATTGACTGCAGCCTTTCGTAGAATTGATCTTTAACGTGGTCATTGTAGTCATTGGTAGGTGCATAACATTGGATAACGTTCATTGTAATGTCCTCTTTCTTTGTTTTGAAGGATGCTTTAATGATCCTCGGTCCATGAGATTCCCATCCTATCAGTGCCTTTTGTGCATGTTTGGACAGCATCAGTGCAACTCCTTGTGTATGTGAAGCGTTTTCCCCTTCATGACCAGAGTATAACAGCAGTTCCCCTGAAGCTAGTCTCAGTTGTCCTACTTGTGTCCAATGCGTTTCACTGATTCCAAGCACCTCGAGGTTGTATCTTTTCATTTCTGCCGCAACTTGAAATAGTCTTCCAGTCTCCCACAATGTACGAACGTTCCATGTACCTAAAAAAATGGTTGCTCTGGTTGTCAGAAGAGGCATCGGCCCCGTGACTTCCGAGGGGACTCGGCTTTCATCACGAGACGTCATAATTCTTCTTCCAACTCCCAGGGCAGAGTTAAAATGGTTTGAATTGTATTTCTGGTTGGCGTTTTTTTGGCAAGTGAGATTTCGACTGAATGGGGTTGCCAACCCTATGTCTAACCCACCTCCTTTATCCGGGCTTGGGACCGGCAGTAGCCCCTAAGGTTTTACAGAGTAAGTAAATAATTCATTAAGTTATAGATGAAAACATTTAATAGTTAACAACACTCCTATTTGTATTTCAGTCGTATTCAGTTGATGAGAAATCAGTAAAATAAAGATAAATTCATGTTTATTGTGTTATAATGTTTGTTGTCCTTACTTTTACCTTACAGTCACGAATGAATCGTCGTTAGACCACCATCGGAAACTTGGAAACATTGGACAGCCATTTAGTCATTGTATGGGACTGGCTGTGGAGCTCACGATGTTGTTGTGCCGTACGCTGCCGAGTATGGATGGGGAGTCGGGGGCACAGTTGTTGGCCTCGCAATTTATCGAGAGTGTGCCTGCAGTCGTGTTCCAGCAGCGGGAACTAGTAAACGTTACACGTTGGATAGATGCCGTACCCATTCCAGACCAGAGGGCAAGAACAATGACCGAAGTGGTAATCCGGCATATTGTAGCGTGTCACAGAATACGGAAGGTGACCAGGGTCACTGTTTTGAAAGTGACGACAGCTTATTAAAAGGGGGGACGAGTGTGGTGCGAGCTACTTATAAGTAGTATATGATGTGAGTTTCAACGTAATGTCTGGCAGCATAAGATGGGGGAAGATCAAGAAAGGAAGACTTCGAAAACAATGGAATTCGTATGAAACGCATGAATAGTGACAATGGATTGAAGTTTTGGCAACAGGAACAGTCCAGTTCGATATGATGAACTGATATTTTGCAAATGAACGATTGACGATATGGTTTTCCTATTTTACTGAGTAACTCTGTAATTTTCCTTAAATACAATTCGGTTGCCCCACATGTGTTCTCGTTCACCAGGACGAAACGTCCGTCCATTACTTCCAGGTTTCTCTATTGATAGTCTAGCAATGATTCAATCATGATTTCAAGGCAAAAAAACTATCATCTTCATAACACTCTCAATGAAGAATGTGCCTAATTTATAAAATAAACAAATAAACATCAAGCAACTTACATTATTACTAGTATTACTACTATTAGTAGTAGCAGTAGCAGTATTAGTAGTAGTATTATGCTGTCGATTTGTTATATCAGTTAATGTTGGTGCAGCAATAAAAACAATATATGGTGCAAATTCTGCTGTACGTAATATTTTCAATGCTTGTGGTTCCACATCTAATATAGCCATTAAATTATTTGTATGTATTTGTCTTATTGTATCTAATTTTGTACCATACATAACACCTTCATGTGTACCATATTCTAAATACTCGTTATTTGCAATATCTTTAATCATTTCATCATGTGTAATGAAATAATAATTTTTACCATTCACTTCATCTTTACGTGGTGTACGTGTTGTGTCTGAAAAAATTTGAAACGGAGAAAAACAAATAATGTAAGTGAACTAGAGTTAGTATTCATGTTGATCATTGACTTTGTAAGTATGCTCTCTTTCACTTACACATTTGAAATCACCAATCAATCAATCATTGTTAGATCACCATTAGAAGAAACCTGGAAGAAGCACTGAAAGACGGCCGTTTTGTGGTCCTGGTATGGGACTCATCAGTGCAGCAGTGCGCATCCACGACTCCTGCTGCACCCCGCATGATTCGAACCCGGGACCTTTGGCATTGTAGGCGAACGCCTTACCATCGGACCACTGGGCCGGCATTAAAACGGTGTTAATGTCTAACTTTCACTTACGTCCAGATTAAATCTAAAAGGTGTGAAGTGTGAAAAGAAAGCTTTTATTACTGTAATGTCAGGCAGTTTATGTATAGAATAATGAGGCAAGTCATTGAGTTATTGGAGAATGCTGGTCGGCGCCTGTTAGTGGGACATCGATGGTATTAAAGCATGACTACGTTGCTGCGCGCTGATTGGCTAATTTCCTATCCAATCAGCGCCTAATCAATTCTTGGAGAACAGGGTAGACAATTCTCGTATTGTTAGCTGCATGCTGATTGGCTAAATCTAATCGAGTCGACCACGTGAATTATTATCCAGAAGCTTCTCATGTAAATACTATAATGAAACTAACGTTGTATCCACTTTTTGCCTTCGCCTTCGACTTCTTATTTCCATTTAACCTTGCTATTTGGAATATAATCTTTTCCTGTTCAACCGTGTTTTTTTGATTCTTTGGAACTTGTCCAGTGTATTGTGTGGTCAGAGAATACTAAGCAATAGGATTTAGCTGGGAATTATTTAAGCAAGTGTTACAATAGCGGCCTATGCTCCATTGGAGGTTAAACGGCGTTAGTGAGTAATCAAATAAGCATAGAGTTAGTTATGATTTTAAGTTTCTGGAAGTTTCATGAAACCATGATGAATACATTGTAGTGGTATGGTGAAACATTCGACCAGAATCGTATCACATGATACTGCATTTTATAGGTGTTTCTGTGAAGGTCCCCTATTCAGTACTGATTGAATAAAACTGTTTCCTTTACTGGAGTTTATGGACTTTTATCCGGGATATTTTGACACTATCCATAACAATCATATTATGAATTAAGTTAGTTATAAATTTTTATTAAAATGACAATAATTGTGGTTCTCTGTTAAAAAAAATATCTTAGTAGAATGATATAAATTCATTTTATCCGGTGGGTTCGCTTCAACTGCTTACTTACTTACTTACTTACTTACGCCTATTACTCCCAATGCAGCATAGGCCAACAACAAATGTTCTCTAACCTACTCTTTAATGGGCTTCTGTTTCCAGTTCCGTCCAATTTTTGCTGATTCTTCTCATGCCTATCTCCATTTCTCGAAGTAATGTTTTCCTTGGCCTTCCTCTTTTCATCTGACCTTGAGGGTTCCTAGTGACGGCTTGTCTTGTGACGACGCAGTTGGGTGCTTTCCTCAGTGTGTGTCCTAGCCACTTCCAGCGCTTCTTCCTGATTTCTTCCTCTACTGAAATCTGGTTTGTTCTGTCCCATAGTTAGTCAGTAGTAGTTAATTACTGATGGTGTCTGGCTGACGGATCCGAAGTATTCTGCATAGGCAACTGTTTAAAAATATTTGTATCTTCTGGATGATGGGTTTGGAAGTTTTCCAAGTTTCCGCCTCGTACAGTAGAACTGTCTTGAGATCCAGCTAAGCGGACTAAACACCACCACTTGAGATTTGTATTGAAAATTGTGACTTTGGTGTTTGCTGATAGTTATTTTGAGTTTCAGATGTTCTCCAGTTGTAGACATGTTGCCCTTGCATTTCCGATACGCACTTTCGCATATGCGTTGGATCCACCTTGCTAGTCAATGATGCCGCGCAGATTTGTAAAGATTTTTGCATCCTCCAAGGCATGTCCTTCAAGAGTGATTTGGTTGGCGTATGTTGTGCTGTATCGAAGAATCTTGTTTTTCGCTGCATGTATGTTGAGACCTGTTGCTGCTACACTGGTCTTCTTCTCTTGTACTTGCTGTTGCGTGTGCGATAGAAGAGCCAGATCATCTGCGAAGCCCAGATAGTTCAGCTGCATCCTAGCTGTCCACTCTATATAGTGCTTCGCTCTAGATGTTGACGTTTTCATAATCCAGTTGACCAACAGGCCAAAGAATATTCATATATTTAGCTTATTTATAAAAGAGGAACTTCGAACAATGTCCGTTATTCCATGATATGATTACTGAATAACTCCACCTGGAGCTCATCTAGGGTCACGCCATTCCTATAGCTGGATAAAGGAGGAAGGTTGAGGATAGGGGGTTATTAACCTCATCCTGTAGAAAAAAAACTTGCTGAACAAACACTAACCAGAATAAATAATTCAAACCATTTAAACTCAGTCCTGGTGATTGGGACGTCTCTTCATTTAGAATACTTATGACGCCTTATGATAAGAGTCATAGTTCCTTTGGAAGTCAAAAAGCCTATTTCCACCTTCTCAGAAACCGAGTAACTATTAATATAGGTATATGTAATTTGTACACAATATAGGCGACTGGAAGAACTAATGAAGTTGCTGTGGAAATAAAAAGATAAGAAATGATAGTACCTGAAATAAGTGACACCCATTGTACAAAGGCTAGACAAAAAAGACTAGCTTCTGAAGAGATGCAGTTGTACTCCGGCCATAAAGAGGAAACTGCCCCTAATACACAAGGAGTTGCATTAATGCTGTTCGAAGAAGTTCAAAAAGCACACATAGGATGAGAATCTCATTGACCTAGGATCATCAAAGCAGTAATCTCCTGTGGGAAAGAACAAACCAGATTCCTCCAACGGAGGAAGAAATCAGAAAGAAGCGCTGAAAGTGGATAAGACACACTTTGAGGAAGACACCCAACTGTGTCGCAAGACAAACCCTCACTTGGAATCCTCAAGAACAAAGGAAAAGAGGAAGCCCAACGAACAAGTAACGCCGAGAATCGGAGACAGATATGCAAAGAATGAACAGTAATTGAATAGAACTGGAAAGGGAAGCCCCAGGACCCAAGAGTAAGTTGGAGAATACTGGCCAGCGGCCTATGCTCCACTGGGGATAATGGGCTTAAGTAAACAAGTAAGTATGATTATTATTGTTACGTCATCACTTACGAGGTATAGGATAAGCAAATTTATCCGGTGCGGATTGAATTAAACAATTTTTAATATGACGTCGTCCAACACCATGTGCACCAAGTAAGACTAATGTTCTACGATGAAATTGTGGCAGTCGAACAACTTCTTCATAAGTGATCAAATCAAATTGATCATAAATAATGGCATGTTGTTTATTTTTATGCCTTTCTTTGAAATAACGTTTACGACGTTTAAACCATGCAGTACAATGTGTAATACCGTGTAGTTCATGTGATAATTCAGCTGCTTTATTAGCCATACGCCATTCTTGTAATTCTGGACTAGGTATTAAACCAGCTGGAGCTTGATAATCTGAACCCCATAGACGAGCCTACATAATGAATGAGTGAATGAGAGAGAAAAAGTGGACTGTATAAGATAATAAGGAAGAAAATTCAAAAACCTGATATGCTTGAAACTATTTTAAAGTTAACCTTACTTGATAAACAGAACGAAGATCAAAATGATTTAGTGAAGTGATAGGCTATTCTAGTCGGACTGTCCTTACTTACTTACTTACTTTAGCTTGTTACCCCCAATGGAGCATAGGCCGCCCACCAGTTTTATCCAACCAACTCTGTCTGTCCTGGGGTTCTGTTTCCAGTTTTGTGCAATGTTTGTTCATTTTTCTCATATCTTTCTCTATTTCTCGGCGTCATGTATTCTTTGGCCTTCCTCTTTTCCTTTTGCCTTGAGGGTTTCAACTGAGGGCTTGTCTTGTGACGCAGTTAGGTGTGTGTCCTATCCACTTCCACCACTTTTTCCTCATTTCCTCCTCAACTGGAATCTGGTTTGTTCTTTCCCACAGTACGTTGTTGCTGACGATGTCTGGCCAACGAATCCGAATTATTTTGCGCAGACAACTGTTAATAAACACATTGTATCTTCTGGATGATGACTTTCGTAGTTCTCCATGTTTCCGCTCCATACAGTAGAACTGTCTTGACATTTGTATTGAAAATCCTTATTTTGGTTTTGGTTGAAAGTTGTTTGGAGTTCCAGATACTTTTCAACTGTAGAAATGCAGCCCTCGCTTTGCCGATCCGCGCCCTCACATCTGCATCAGATCCACCTTGGTTGTCGATAATGCTGCCCAGATATGTAAAGGCGGTGTTGACGTCCTCCAAGGCATCTCCATCAAGAGTGATTTGTTTGGTGCATATTGTGTTGCATCGGAGAATTTGGCTTTTTCCTTTATGTATGTTGAGACCTACTGCTGCAGAGGCCGCTGCTACACTGGTCATCTTCTCTTGCATTAAAAATAATCCGATTTTCCTAGGCTCCGCTAACTAAAGGAAGAAATCTTCGTAAGACGTAGAGAGAGAATGTATTCACTGGCACACAGAAAATACGAGGTTGACAAGCATTCAAATCAATCTTATTTATAAAATGATGGAGACGCACTTAGGAGAGCCACAAAACAACCTAATAAAATAATACGTGGACCAATGTTAGTCAAGGACTGTCTGAGGGGGAGATGTAAGCTGAAGGTCAACTAAACGTCTCTAACGCGAAAACAATGAAATTCAAAGATTTCAGAATAAATTACAAAATTAAGACCTTTTCACAGTAAGTTCTGGGGATCTAACCTCCCCAACAGAACCTTATCTGATAATGCATTTCGTTTTAAGTGAGAAATGCAAAACAACCAGTAGCTTCAATACTAAGGAGTACTTCAGTAACTCTGGGGACGTTGTCTCAGAGGAATTGTTTCTGTTTTAGAATAATTACTTGTGTTGTTAGAGATATGAGAACGGATAAAACTCCTCATATTGTGAAAAAGTATTTGTTGAGGGACATGAAAAAGTAGCTGAGTATATTTTCGGTCTTAGTGACCGAAGAGCTCAAGGGACAACATTTTGAGACGGGTCGCGCATGGCTTATTCATAGTAAGTTTTTAAAGTGTTAGCTCCGCTCTTGTTTAAAAGGCCTTGCCGCCGGAGATGGAAATCCATGGGGCAAAGTGAAGTGTGATGTTTTTGATGTCAACATTTTCCAATCCCTTCGTTACGTTACGAGAAAGGCAGCATCACTGCAGATACTAGTTATCCGAGGGAAACAACTTACTACTGTCATACTCATCTACAGTAAGTAGTACGACTTTACTTTCTTCAGAAGTTAAGTTACTGCTTTTAGTCTTACCATTCTTCAATCGACCTGTCTGCATAAGTTCAAATCAACAAAGCTTATTTTAGCTATCATAATATACGAGTCCGATCACCATGTTGGGAATAGCTGCTACGGTCGGTATGAGGTTCGTTTGAGAGTAAGTAATATACGGAAATTAAATGAAAGGTTTATTTCATTTCCCTATATAATCGTTCGTCCAACAAAGGGGAGTCAGACTGTAGTGAAGGAGAACACAGGTGAGGGCAACCGAATTGTATTTAACGAAAATTACAGAGTTACTCAGTAAAATAGGAAGACCATATCGTAACCACCGTTAATTTGCAAATCTTCAATCCATTGTCTGACATTTCACTTATTCATGCGTTTCATACAAATTCCATTGTGTTCTTCTAACTCTTCCTTTCTTGATCTTCCCCCATCCTCTTCTGCTGCCAGACATTACGTTGACACTCGCGTCATATACTACTTATAAGTAGCGCGCACAACAAGATGATCTAATAAGATAGTCCCCAATTAGAAGATATACACTAACAGTTCATCCATGACTTGGTAAATCAACTTATTACATTCATTCAAACTTGTCAATTCAATTCAATATAATTCAATGAAAAAAACAAATGTACAAAATATATTGTCAAGCATTCTCTCTCTTTCTTACTTGCCACCAATTATGATCATCTTTACTAATAATTTGTAAAATATCACCATTATGAAAATGTATACCAGCTTGTGTACATGGGATTAAATCATCATTATCTGGATTATAATCAAACATTGCACGTACATAAATCTAAAAATAGAGTTTTTGTTAGAAAAGAATAGAAAATAAAAAATAGAAAATAATTCAATTTTGTCAATGATTGAAAGATAATGGGGATGATTAGCAATGGAATAGGCGGAATATGCGTCAGCTATGACGTAGGTGAGATATCTGTTTGATTAATAAAGGACGGGTGTATGGCGTAGTAGTTCGCTCCGCTCTATTATACGGATGTGAAATATGCCTGGTAGGAGTAGAGGATATTCGTAGATTGCTTGTCTTCAACCATAGGCGTCTCCGAAGAATTAGTCGTGTATCCTGGGACAACCATATAAGCAATGCTATCGTTAGGAAACGAGTACTAGGTAGGGATGGTAGATTAATAGATGAAGTAGTGAAACTTCATCAGTGTAGGTGGTTAGGACATGTGTGTTACGTATGGCTAACCGCTGAGTGCCGAGCTATGTTTTGTGGTGTAGGAGTAGGTTGGAAGAAAGCTAGGGGTGGCCAAACCAAAACATGGCAGAAATCCATAAAATCACTGACAAGTGGACTGAGTCATGTTGTTAGATGTAGGATAACCTGGTTGGCGTCCGCGAGACGAAAGTCACCAATAGTTAAAACCTTGAACGACATAACTCAGAATCGTTTGCAATGGCGCAGGTGCATCCACTCTTTGTGTTTCCTCGAATCCTAACCTTCTGAATTCCTCAGCACCTCTGTCTTTCTCTTTCTAACTTTATCTCATTGAATTGTATCCTAATCTTCTCCATTACTGCTAATACTTCTACTATCTCTAACATGACAATTGCGTCTATGAGCTGATGCCGTATGGCAACCTAAACTAATGTGCTTACGTACGAAGTTCGGCGTTGTATCTATCTATATTTATCTGTTATTTTTTTCAACAAGAGTTATGGAGATCTTTGGTTTTACACATAGAAATCATGAATGAATCATAGTTAGACTACCATTAGAAGAAAGCTGGAAGCACTGAAAGATGGTCGTTTTGTCATGCTATGGGACTCATCAATGGCAGTGTGCATCCATCCATGACTCCTACTACTCGCAGAATTCGAACCCAGCAGGACCTTCGGTCTTGAGCGTGAAACGGCTGCCTCAGTGCATTCAGGTTTCTAATGGTGGTCTAACAATGATTGATTCATCTGTTAGTTGAATGTACTTTTCACATGTCATACAGTTGATGTTCAACATTCTTTAGGATTTGAACTCAGTACTATTCGCTTCAAATGTAAGTGGATTATGGACTTAGCTACTGAGTCCAGGCAATCACTAGCTTGTGTTGATCACTTGTCAGTCCTAAATATCAATAAGAATATTCGAACAACCCAATAAAAATGAATGAAAATCCATTTTTTAGGAGAGAGAATTTTATTGGTCGAGTGAAGTTGACATATCATCACAAACTGATATCAACAGGATGGTGGAGAAAATTTGTAGCTTAGGTAGATGGATGATTGTGGTGAAGTCTCTCTCGATCTCTGTGAGCTAGGGATGTTTAGGTTGTGGAGCTTTCATTGTTTTCCTGCTAAACAAAATTATCGTTAGCATAAACTTCAGATAGACAGAAGTGAAGTATTCTAATTTCTCCACGTAGCCTGTTCTGTTGACCTTGATCTTGATTGGCTGTTGCAATTGACCTTAAACCTGTTTATTCAATATTCAGTTCTATTAACTAATTCATACCTCATTTATGCTACATACTAGATATATATTACACGATTTCCGATATGTAATTACATTTGTTAGGATATTCATTCAATATCCTAAGAGAATTATTGGTCTATTCCTATTAGTTAATTCCTACTGATCAATTTTATGGTCGTCCTAGTAGATATCAATGTCACGTGCTCCAATGTTGTTTCTTATTGGTTGTCCTGACTATCAATGTCACTTCAAATGTTGCTTCCTATTGGTCGTCTTAACTGTCAACGTCACAGACTTCGATGATATTTCTTATTCGACCAAAATGTATAAATACGCATTATCTGTAACGTTTTATGGTCACGACCAGGACCAGGGCTCGGTCCCGGATTCCTAGTCCGGGGATCCTGATTCTGTTCTTGACTCGGACGTCGTACTTTCTGCATGCTTGTAGAATACAGGTTCTACTTCATATCATGTCTTCTTATTTTTACTCAATATGGGGATTGGGATAATCGGATTAGAGTAGCATGTCGTGTCACCGGATGGTCGATCCTCGTTCTCGTTTTCCGACTAATGTATACTCGTAATAGTTCAAGTATATGAAGTTGACGTGTTTACGTGCAGGCGTAACAACATTACTATCAGCTATGTAGAATACTTACTCACTTACATAACACCTGTTACCCCTAATGGAGTATAGGCTGCTTACCCGTGAATAATTTTTTTTTCTGGTTAGCGTTTTTCTAGCGAGATAGATTTCTATGTAATTGGGATGCAAGCCCCACATCTACCCCTTTTCCTTTATCCGAGCTTGGGACCGGCAGTAGCCTCAGAGGGGCTCAAAATTCATCCCTTATTCACTAATTCGTACCTCAATCATGTTATTATTCTATATATATATATATATATATATATATATATATATATATATATATATATATAGCATGATTCCTGAGTTGTGCTTACATCCTATATCTCTCACTCACCTCATACTGAACATATTTATTCTGATTATCACAAGCTGATAATTTCATTTTACCTATAAATTTATCCAAATGAATACTTCATAATAATCATGCCAAGAATTATTTCACGAAGAATCCTAACATTCACACCTATAATTGGAAACGGTACCCTAAGCCTGGCCATTTCATTTTGGACGATTAATTTCGAGATATACATATAGAACTGTAGAACTAACTGAAGAGAACTTATGAAAACGACTATTCTTCGTTGCATATATATCTCTATGTGTTTTAATCTGATAGGAAGTGTGGTAGAGTTTCATTGTAGTTCAGAAAATGAAAACCCCACTTGAGCTACCCCACTTCTCCAACATCTCAAAATCTGATGGGAATTATTTTATTTTTTTTTAGAAATCTGTTAGTAATAATGACAATAATAATAATAATAATAATAATAATAATAATAATAATAATAGTACACCTTTGAAAAGTAAGATTTACTACATCTAAAAAGTGAAGAAAATATGTATATATATTAGTCATGATCAAGTCGATTTGATAATTATTGAACAGATGTGTATCGACCAGTTTTTAATACTTCTATTATTATGACAATAGTATTGACTATTGTATGTATATTTGATTGTGTGTGTGCGTGTGTGTATGCGCACATGCTTATTCGCTTATTACAACATGTTTAGCCTATCATTGCCTGACTATAAATGTGATGTGTGCAACTTATACGAATGATATAAGTAGTAGTATAAGAAGGGGCGTGAAAGAAGAAGAATTCGCACGGTCAGTCAGAAGAGGAAAACGGAAAGCAAATGGAGCAAAAGCAAGAAGTAAATGGAGTACCAACAGGAATCGAAGAAGAAGGATGGTGTTGGAAGTCACGACTCAAAGATGGTGTGCTAATTGAGTAAGTATTCAATGTAATGTTTTCGTTTTTAATTGACTCAGTGTGTAAATTTGCATGATACAGTCTTCCGCGCCTGCCCCAGTCTTCTCATAAATACTTAGTCATGGTTCAGCGCGTTAGAGTTGGCTTACTTGCCTTTAATGATGCACTTCGTTTTACTTGTACACTTTTAATTATCATGTCTGTTTGCCTAAACGAACTCCAATTACCACTGTCGCATAAATGGGGTTTGCTCAAGTATGATTAACTGAAATGGAAAGGAAGATTTATTTTATAGCATATTCAATCATTCGTTGAAATTAGAGTCAAGTCGCAGGCCACTAAAGTGATGCGCTCTACTTCAAAGTTAACGCAACCACCAAATGTGAAAAAAAACCATATCACACTTGACACGGTTGAACTCCATGGGACCTATGATGACAATTATCATGTGCTCACTAGTGGCTAACTTTGTGAGTGAATTCTCAGACTTCTTATAGTGATAAACTCTGACCAGTGGAATTTAGTTGTGTCGGGTGTGAGGCAGTTACACAGCGAAAACAATGAATCAGGCAGCGCAATATCGTGGATTGATTGAAATTAGACAACATTAACACCCTCTGGATGCCAGTTCAGTAATAAAGAGGTGGAGCGTTTACGTGTGACACCGAATGTCCTACAATCGATTCCAGCCTGAGAAATCATGTGTGTACAATGCTGGTCAGTGTTATACTAGAATGAAACGGCCATTCAGTACTAACAAAGCTTGCAATGGTGGTCTAACACTGATCAGTTGGTGTTCATGATTTCGATTTTAAAAAAATTAAATTCCTTGATTTTTCATGAATTAAAAGAATTATTCCATAAAGTATATAGAAACATTGCTTACTTCACATTGCAATGGATGTGTTCGATAACTGGGAATAATTTTCAAACTCACATTTCCACGAGCATTACGCTTTGAATAGAAATGGTAACAACAAAAATTAAGTTTAATATAATTTGCTACTTATAAACAATATATATAAGTAGTTTATAAGTAAATGGTTAATAATATACATTGAAAAAATTTTCAGAATTAAAGAAAAATACCAAAATTATTTCAAATGAACACCATACTTTTTAAGGAAATTTAGCAAATGATCGATGATACTTTTCTTGTTTATTCCCGATCGTCCAATTTATTCCCGCCAAATTTTAATATGTTTATCAGGAGCCTGTAACATTTCAAGGTCATATACAAATAACCTCTCTCACGTTCTCTATGCAGACTTGAGGCTATAAAATAAAGTATTTTCTAAGAAAACCACCTGTCCTCTTGTTTTTTGTTTGTGTTTCAAAAGTATAGACTTATGAGACAAAAGAAAGGAGTATGGAAGTTGTTATCCAAAAGCATTGAAATGATCTAACTTGGAATTTGTGTTGTCAGTCAGTCAGATGCAACGTAGAACTTCGTACGTAAGTACATCAGTTCATGTTGCCATATCACATCAGCACAGAGATATAATTGTCAATTCAAATCCAATAGTAGAAGAGGTAGTAAAGGTATTAGAAGTAATCGGAGAGGTTAGGATTAGAAGATATTATTCAAGAAGTATGATTAAATGAGAAGAGTTTAGAAAGTCAAAACTAGAGGTGTTGAAGAATCCAGAAGATTAGGATTTGAGAGAACACAAAGAATGACTGCACCTGAGCCATCGCAAACGGTTTTGAGTCATGTCATTCAGGGTATCTAACCATCGATTATTATCATCTCGCGGATCCCAACCAGGTAGTCGACAACTATCGACATGGCTCAGTCCAATTGTCAGTGACTTCATGGATTTCTGCCATGTTGTCGTACGCTTCGATGGTGTTCTCGTGACTTTCAGGTTGACTGATCTGCCAAGTGAGATAGGACAATGAATGACGTTATAGTTGTGTGCTAGGTTCAAAGAGAGTTGTATACTATACGTATGCACTTCGCCCAGTTACGGTACTGAAATTGGAACTATTTGTATAGAGATTTTTAAAAAGTTATTTCTACAACAATTCAGCATAATGTGGTAAGAATGTCGATAAATTTAAGAGATTAACTAAAGTATTGTCACAAAGTAGCTTGTAAGTAGTATTAAGCGATAAATCACTTGTAGGTGGATAGATAACCAGCGGAGAAAAAAGTGTTCACAAATTGAAGTACACAATTGTGATTAGAATATTTTATAGACTGGAATAGAAGTGAGTGAAGACAGTCTAAAACTAGCTTGGTTTAAAGAGCAAACACTAAATGCAAATGGATAATTATAGACTAAGTGTACATATTTTGTGAACAATTTTTGTGTCTATCAAATACCTATGTCCCATCTGAGCTTGTCTTCTCTTTATAACATTAACAAAAGATAAATTAACGAGAAACAAGGGATTACATGATGGAGAAACGATGAGAACAAGCAAGGATAAAACGAGTGAGTCTTAAATCAAAGTGAGATTTGTTTCAATTATTGAATCGATCAGTATTACACCAACATCAGAAAACTGGAAGCGCAGTACGACCGCTTTATTCTGGTATGGGACTCATCAGCAGTGCACACCCACGACTCCCGCTCGTGAGAATGTGTAGTGAAGGAGAACTTAGGTGAAAGCAACCGAATTGTATTTATGTCAAATTACAGAGTTAATTGGTAAAATAAGAAAACCATATCGTAAATCGTTGATTTGCAAAATATCAATGCATCATATCGAACTGGACTGTTCCTGTTGCAAACATCAATCCATTTTCTGACATTTCACTATTCATGCGTTTCATACAAATCCCATTGTGTTCCCGCTCTTCCCCCATCTTCTGCTGCCAGACATTATGTTTTTACTCGCGTCATATACTACTTATAAGTAGCGCGCACCACAAATGGGACATAGGACCTTCGGTATTGAGTGCGAACGCTTAGCGGTATTATATACTATTTAATTCTAAATACCTTTAGGCTAAGCTTCGATAAGATTTAGTGCTTATTATTATTTTTTAGACATCAATTCCACTGGGTGATCAACAGGTCAGGCGTTCACAAGCTAGACTGAAAGCCTCACAGTCGACTCCTGGGGTCGTGGATGAACACTATCACTGATACTCTCACTGTAGAAGTTTGAAATCAATGTACAGTGCTCACAGCTTCCCAAATAATACTCTATTATTGATCGATTTCGATGAAACTCAACAATCTCCGCAATCCTGTTATGACTAATAATTATTGATAAGTTAATTCATAAGATACAATCTATAAGATTTTCGGTTGTAAAACAGCAATGTCATTTAATAATGAACTGTTGTTTAAAATACAAAGAAAAAATTCATTGTAAACTAACCAATAAACGTTGTAAATGTTCAACGGATCGACCAGCTACTGGTTCATTATTAATTTCACGTAGTTCATCACCCACATGTAAGGTACCTTATATGTTGTAATGAAGAAAGGATAAATTGTAATTCATAGTGTATTTGTTATTGTACAGACAAAATAAACTGTGAAAATTGTATAAAATAATTACTTTTTTTCAAAGAGAGTATTAGAAGTTAGATGCAGATATGAAAGCGCAAATCAGCAAAGGACTGCATTTCTATAATAGAAGAACATATGCCACTCAAAAAAAATCAACGGTCAGAATTTTCAGCGCAAATTTAAAGACAGTTCTACTGTATAGAGTGGAAGCTTGGAGTATCATGAAGTCCATCATCTACAAGCATCAACGCAAAATACTAAGGATCCGTTGGCCAGACACCATCAGTAACAGCCTACTGTGGGAGAGAACAAATCAGATTCCTTCAGTGGAGGAGGATATCAGAAAGAAGCAGTGTAAGTGGATAGGACATACACTACGAAAAGCACCAAACTGCGTCACAAGACAAGCCCTCACTTGAAATCGTCAATGTAGCAGGAAAAGAGGAAGGCCAAGAAACACATTAGGCCGAGAAACATGAGAAGAATAAACAAGAATTAGACAGAACTAGAAAGGAAGACTCAGGACATAGTAGGTTGGAGAATACTGGTCGACGGCCAATGCTCGATTGTGGGTAACAGGCGTAATTCTAGTGATTAATATTCTTAAAGAGTGATTGAGTTGTAATTTAATAAATATTCCATAAGATGAAGTATATTACTTTCTAGTTTATTATGCAATATTCATATCATGCACAATATGCAATGAAAACTAAGAGTCTTAATATTTTCCATTGAGAACTTAAAATAAATTCCTCACAGGACGAAAAGTCCAGTGCAAACATCTAATACCTTGATACTTGGACTCGACATGGACTTGAATTCATTCTCTCTCGAGATCATAGATAGGCATCACTAAAGAATTGTAACCAGTAACTAACCTAGGGTTACACGTAAAAGTCTCTATCAACTACCTTCAAGTACCTAATGTCCAAACACGGAATAATATACGATGTTGAGTCACACTGACTAGGTGGTTACATAACTGCGTGACTGGCACTAAGGTGACGTATTAAGGTAGTTCGTTATAATACACTTCAGTTACATATATATATATATATATATATATATATATATATATATATTCATCATTCATAGTTTTATAACAAAGCTTGCAAGCATCATCTCATTGGGTTCCAAAAATTTCAACTTAAACCACTTTTTTTTCTACCGAACAATAAACTCGAAAGATTTACAAGTCTACAACAATGTAATCATTCAAAAGAAAGATAAAGTTGATATCTATGGGAAAAAATGAAATTAACAAATATTTTCTATTGGATTGTCAACACTGATTCTTCTTCTTGATGTAAATATAAATACTGATTGTTAAATCTATCGAACAGTCTAACAACACCATTGAGATATGCGTGAAATCGAAGTTCGATTCGTCTAAAGAATGGTTTATTGTTAGCTGATGAACAAACATAAATTAGGCAAAAAAAATCCTCAACTCGCGAGGTGTCTACAACGATTAACGCGGTCACATGTATTCAAGGAAAAGGACTTTGATAGTCTAAATGACAACTGTGTTTAATGTTAACAAATAAATTATCGACAACCGAATGGGAACTAAAAGCAAACACGTATGGAGGTCGTCAGAGAACATTCAAAACAGGGAGCAACCGTTCCAACAGTTGAAAGAAGGTAATTATCATAATCGGTATAGTTGTTGAAACTACTACTTACGCCGATTACACAACAATACAATTGGTGATATGATACATTTTTAGAAATTATTAAAGATAAAACTGTTTACTGAATATAAATAAGTAGTATAATTCAATTCATAAAAAATAGAAATCGAAAGAAAATCAGGTCAACAAATATGGGCAACTTTGCCTTAAAATTGAAAAAACGGATATTATAACAATAAGTGAACAAGTTTATAACTTCAGAAATACTACTAAAAGTTAATACCAATCAATACAAATATTGTAGTAGTATGTATATGCGTTAAGACAGATGTAATTACTGAACTTAGACCACGGATTGATTGAAATAAGACATTGACACTATTGAATGCCGACCGGCTGAGTGGTGTAGAGGTTAAGCTTTTTCACGTGAAACCGAAGGTCCGGGGATCGTTTCCGACGAACAAGGGTTGTGGATGCCTACTTACCCTGATGAGTCCCAATACTAGGAGGAAACAGCCATCCAGTACTTCCAAGTTTCTAATGCAAGTCTAACAATGATCCATACACGTTAATTATCTGATTTATAAAAGAATTGTAGCAAATGATTAATCTGATTTATTCAGTTGGAAAAGAATTTGATTATTTTTGAAAAAAAAGTATAATTACCTTGTCTATGTATCATTCCACCATGTAGAATTCTTGCAACAATACATTTATTTTCTTCATTCAATTTTAAAGTGATACCCTACAAAACATTGAATAAACAAGTACTGTTCAATGGTTTCAATGTAGACAAATAATTGACTATGACTGATGAAATAAATCTTTTAGTTAAGATAGAGGTGAGCAGTCAAAATACAATTTGGTATTGGATTCAGTCAGTCAGTTAGTCAGATGCAACATAGAACTTTGTACGTAAGTACATCAGTTCAAGTTGCCATACCACATTAGAACACAGAGAGATGTAATTGTCAATTCAAATCCAATAGTAGAATAGGTAGTAAAGGTATTGGAATTAATCAGAGAGGTCGGGATTAGAAGATATTATTCACGAAGTATGATTTAATGAGAGAACATAAGGAATAGATGCACTGGCGACATTCCAAACGGTTTTGAGCCATGTCGTTCAAAGTCTCTGAACATCGGTTACTGTTGTCTTGCGGACCCCAACCAGGTAATCTAAACTTACCAACATGACTCAGTTCACTTGTCAGTGACTTCATGGATTTCTGCCATGTTTTGGTTTGGCCGCCCCTAAATTTCTTCCAACCTACTCCTACACTACAAAACAAAGCTCGTCGAGGCAGTCGGTGGTTAGGCATACGCAACACATGTCCCAACCACCTCAACTGATGAAGTTTCGTTACTTCATCTACTGATCGGCCATTCTTACCTAGCACCCGATTCTTAATAACAGCGTTGCTCACTCGGGTGTCCCAGGATATACGAGAAATGCTTCGAAGACAACTATGATCGAAAACCAGTAACCTACAAATATCTTCTATTCTCACTGGCCATGTTTCACAGCCATAAAGTAAGACGGAGCGAACTACTGCACAGTACACTCGTCGTTTAGTCAGCAAACGGATTGGAATGATTTATTTCACATACACATTTGTGTATGCAAACAGACATAAGAATGATGAGAAGCTATAAGTCGGATGAATTAAGTCTATCAAAGTTGTACAACATTTTACTAGAATCAATCATAAGTGTAGTGGAGTTTCATTTTCTGTGAGTTGGATGTTTTGGGAGATGACATTGTTCTTCTACCAAACAACATCATCATAAACTTCAGATAGAAGAAGTTAGGTATTCCGATTTCGCCATGTAGCTTATTCTGTTGATGAGAACTGCAGATGAACACGTTTAAGATCAATAACAACAGCCAATCAAGATCGAGGTTAACAGAACAAGCTACAGGTCATTCTAAGTAGAGAAATTCCAACACCTCACTTCTATCCACCTGAAATTTGTGCTAATGACGTCGTCCAGGAGAAAAATGATAAAAGTTCCACAACCAAAACATCCAGCTCAGAGGGCAATAAATACTTCATCACAATCATCCACACGACCTATAAATGTTCTCCATCATCAATCATGACTATTTGTAATACATGAGACAATATATGAATTAGCCCAACTACACATATCATATTAATGCAACCAGATAAACTTTTTTCTTAAAAATAAACAGATCTATATAATGTAATGATTAGACATCATTATGATTCAATCAATCCAAGACCGAAGGTCCTGGGTTCGAATCCTGCAATCAGCAGGAGTCATAAATACGCACTGCTGACGAGTCTCGTACCGGGATGAAACGGTCATGTTTAGTGTTTCCAGGTTTCTAATGGTGGTCTAACATCAATTGATTCGTGATTTTGTTTTTAAAATACCTGGTATTGATCAAGAAAGAAGAGAAGGTTCATAATTCTGATTGTCATCACAAGCATTCTCACCCATTGATTGACTGATTGTTATAATCAAATGGGATATAAACTAGATAGTTTGTACTTTGCTATCAATATGTTCTTAGATCAATAGTGGATAAGTTTATATGTATTTAGCTTTTGTTCGATTCGAGATGGTGGAGAAGACTTGTAGCTCAGGTGGATGATTGTGGTGGTGGTGTTTGGTTCTCCGAGCTGGGGGATGTTTTGGTTGTGTGGAGCTTTCATTGTTCTTCTACTGAACAACATCATCAGCACAAACTTCAGATAGAACAAGTGAAGCATTCGAATTTCTCCACGCGTTTGACCTGTAGCTTGTTCTGTTAACCTCGATCTTGCTTGGTTGTTGCTGACCTTAAACCTGTCGTTGTTCGCACCTTTGTTTTGATTACATCCCCCTTTTGATCTGTTTCTTGATCCTATGTCACCGATGACTTTCCTGATTGGTTGATAAATTGGGTCAATGTCGATGTGTTTGTTGATTGACCTGAGTGCCAAGCTTCTAAAAATTCTCTAGTATTCTTTGTGCTCCCTCTGTCCAGTATTTCCACATTGTTCCAATCAATTGTGTGTCCATAATTGTCCATGTGTATTGATATAAGCGAAGAATTGTCGTGGCGTTTGACTGCTAATTGTTGTTCACGTAAACGAACCCGAAGAGGCCGTCCACTTTGTCCTATGTAGTGTGTTTTTCACAATCTGAGCAGTTGTTTATTTTGTAGACGTGATATTTGGTTTTTCTTCCTTTATGTCATTTTGTCCTTTTGGTCTACATACACATAGAGGATTGATTGAAGTGATTCTGTTGGTTTATTATGTGCTACACTCATTCTATTCCAAATGGTTTCAGTAGTCATGCTCTGTATTATGCTCTGATTTATCTTTTATCTATGGTAGGTAGGATGATCTGTTTATTATTGATTCCCGTAATTGATTTCAATCCAACGTTACATCAGTGTTATTTTAATGTCTCTTGAGAGACAACAAGATACCAAAATGTAAGGACAACCATTAACACATAGATTAAATACGGTTAAATGAAATAAGTGAGTAAAACAAAACAGAGAGGGGAGAAAAAAAACAAAATCAACACAAGTGACCTTAAATAATCAATCAATCAATCAATGCGTAAAAAAGAAGGATTTAAGGGTTTTTCTATTTTGTTTTAATTAATCATGCAAGTGTGTGTGTGTGTGTGTGTACATTAACGATTCAATGATCAATGTTAAATTGTCAATAAAATGTCAACAGGCTGAAATTGTTTGAGATACTAAAAATCTTATGAATTCATTGTTATCATGTTGAATTTTTCTTTAAATTTGTTAGAATTCATTTTTAGAACAATACATATTGTAGTGTGAGCTACTTATAAGTAGTATATGACGTGAGTGTCAACGTAATGTCTGGCAGCATAATATGGGGGAAGATCAAGAAAGGAAGAGTTAGAACACAATGGAATTTGTATGAAACGCATGAACAGTGACATTGGATTGATGTCTTGCAACATGAACAGTCCAGTTCGATAGGATGAACTGATATTTTGCAAATTAACCACCGTTTACGATATGGTTTTCCGATTTTACTGAGTAACTCTGTAATTTTCGTTAAATACAACCCGGTGGCCCCACCTGTGTTCTCGTTCACTAGTTTATTTACAAAACTGAAAGAAAGCGAACAATCTTGTTTTCGATTAGATCTCCTGTCGACCAGCGATGTCTACTCAAACGAAGGATAAGTTAACTGAGTTTTGGCCTCCTCTATATGCATTTACAAATTCAGATGCTCCTGTGGAGATAGCTATATCGGGCGTACTTCCAGGCAACTTACACAATGAATATGAGTGAACATCTACCAGTATGGTTTAAGGAAGAGTCAGTCAAAAACAATACGCAGTTCTCTATCTTAGCACACCTGGTGGAAGATAGTGGTCATATTGTAGATAAATCTAGATCTTTTCGAGTGATCTATCGTATACCTCCATCATTTCCCAACGGAGTTCGATCCCGTCTCCTACAACACATAGCAGAAGCCATAAGAATACGTACATTCAACCCTAATTTATCTTTTATTTTTTATTTTATTTTTATTTTTACACATTTGCTTATTACGTAATGTTTTTGATGTTTTTTGATGATTATTTGAATTCTATTCATCCACCTTTTACCTAATTTAGTTATCATATTTTATAAATTTTCCTACTACAAATGAATAAGGGAGTGAAGTAGTCGAGCGTGTTGGCCGCTTCACTTATCTGGGGAGTCTCATCAGTGCCGATGGCCTGATGACTGACAAAATCTCAGCACGGATACAGAAGGCTCGATTAGCTTTTGCCAACCTGCGTCACTTATGGTGTAGGCGAGATATCCGTTTGCTAAACAAAGGACGAGTGTACCATGCAGCAGTTCGCTCCGTCCTACTGTACGGATGTGAAACTTGGCAGTTAAGAGTAGAAGATGTTCGTAGGTTACTAGTATTCGATCATAGATGTTTAAGAAGCAATGCTCGTATACTATGGGACAACCGTATAAGCAATGCTGCCGTTAGAAAACGAGTTCTAGGTAGGGATGGCAAATCAATAGATGAAGTAGTGAAACTTCGTCAGTTAAGGTGGTTGGAACATGTTACGTATGGCTAACCACCGACTGCCGCGACGAGCTATGTTTTGCAGTGTAGGAGTAGGTTGAAAGAAAGCTAGGGGCGGCCAAACCAAAACATGGTAGAAATCCATGAAGTCACTGACAAGTGGACTGAGTCCTGTTGGTAGATGTAGACTACCTGGTTGGGGTCCGCGAGCCGATAGTCACCGATGGTTAGAGACATTGAACGACATGGTTCAAGATCGTTTACAATGGCGCTGGTGCATCCACTCTTTGTGTTCTCTCTAATTCTAAGCTCCTGCATTCCTCATAATTTCTGTCTTTCTCCTTCTAAATTTATCGCACTGAATTATACTTCTTGAATCATATCTTAGCTCCCTAATCTTCTCCATTACTGCTAATACTTCTATTATTGCTATCACTGTTGGATTTGAACTGACAGTTGCGTCTCTGTGCTGATGTGGTATGGCAACCTGAACTGATGTACTTTTACGTACGAAGTTCTGCGTTGTATCTGTCTGTCTGTCTGTCTGAATAAGGTTGCGCAAAATACCTAGGTTGACCAAAGTTACACATTAACACGGTTGGATGCCGGCCGGTTAAGTAGTCTACAAGTTAAGCGACAACGCGCGAGACCGAAGGTCCAGGGTTCAATTCCTTGTAGTGCATAGGGGTCGTCAATGTGCACTGCTGATGAGCCGCTTATTAGGACGAAACAGCCACCTAATGCTTTCAGGTTTCTAATGGTAGTCTAACAATAATTGATTCATGATTTCAATGAAAAATCAATTGTGAATTAATGAATTTCAGAACATAATTATTACTATTATTATTAAACATAACATTAGTTTATTATGTCATAAACTATGATTACTTTGATGTGCGTGGAAAATTGAAAACGAATAGAAAATATCAACATTCAGGTTAATGTCCCCAGGGGTAAGTAAGTATCCTTAGATGACATATACAGTACAAATTAATCAGGTTGAAAAAACTAGTTCATTCATTTTTTGATGCAACTATAACTTTTTCCTCACTCTAGTCTTTATAAAAATTGGCAAAGTCAAAATTTTCAATGCAGATATCATGATAGTGTTATGCCTGCGCGTAACAACGTCAACTTGATATACTTGAACTATTATGAGTATACCTTAGTCAGAATACGAGAGCGAGGATCGAGGATCAGGTGACATGATAGACTTCTCAAATCCGATTATCCCAACCCACATATTGAGTAAAAGAAGAGAAGACTTGATATGAGGTAGAACCTGTATACTACAAGCATCCAGAAAGTACGAGGTCCAAATCTAGAAGAGAATCAGGATCCCGGACCACGGATCCGGGACCGGGTACTGGTCCTGGTCATAAAACTTTACAGATAATGCCTATATATACATTTTGGTCGAATAGGAAACAGCATTGAAGTCTGTGACATTGACAGTTAAGACGACCAATAGGAAGCAACATTTGAAGTGACACTGATAGTCAGGACAACCAATAAGAAACATCATTGGAGCAGGTGACATTGATATCCAGGAGGACCATAAAATTGACCAGTAGGAATTAACCAATACGAACAGACCAATAATTCTCTTAGGATATTGGATGAATATCCTAACAGATAGTTCTCTATTGTGCAGAGTGTAAACTTGGAGACACACGAAACCTATTATCTAGATGAGACAAGTGTTTACTAACAATTGTTTATGCCAGATATTGAGGATCTGTTGTCCAGATATCGCTAGGAGAGAACAAACTAGATTCAGCTTGAGAAAGAAATCAAGGATGAGGCGCGAGACGTGGATAGAATACACATTGAGAGAAAAGCATTCAACTGCGTCACCAAGGCAAGCTCTCACTTGGAATCCTCAAAACCAAAGAACGCATAACGCCGAGAATTCGGAGACAGTAATGAAAAGAATGAACAGCAATTAGGTGGAACTGAAAAAGAATGTTCAGGACAGAGTAAGTTGAAGAATGTTGGTCGGTGTGGCCCATGCTCCATTGGCGGTAACAGGAATAGGTAAGTAAGTAAGTAAGTAATTAAGAACATTTCCTCTCTGTTAACACCTAAGAGATTCTTCTCTGCATACTACTTATGAGCCACATTGTGAGTAGCACCCACGAAATTTATTCAGTCAGATGCAACGTAGAACTTCGTACGTAAGTACATCAGTCCATGTTGCCATACCACATCAGCACAGAGATGTCATTGTCAATTCAAATCCAATAGTAGTAGAGGTAGTAAAGGTATTAGAAGTAATCGGAGAGGTAAGGATTAGAAGATATTATTGAAGAGGTATGATTCAGTGACATAGGTTTAGAAAGACAAAACTAGAGGGGTAGAATAATCCAGAAGGTTAGAATTAGAGTGAACACAAACAGTGGATGCACCGGCGCCATTGCAAACGGTTTTGAGCCATGTCATTCAGGGTATCTAACCGTCGATTATTATCATCTCGCGGACCCCACCAGGTAGTCGACAACTACCAACATGGCTCAGTCCACTTGTCAGTGACTTGAACTCCAAACAACTGTCGATCAACACCGAAGTCACGATTTTAAATACAAATATCCAGATATTTCTATTATATGGAGCTGAAAATCGAAGAATCACGAAAGCCGTCATCAGCACTGATGAGACTCCCACAATAAGTGAAGCGGTCTACACGTTCGACTACTTCACTCCCTATCACTAGTTCAGGTGCCGATGCAAGTCAATCTTGAAGCAACATTTTGCATTTCGAGGGGGAAAATCGCATCCCGAACACGCTTGCATTGTTGCTCAAGGTGGTCAGAAGACTCTGCATTTTGTCAGCGTCTTCACCAACTAGGAATATGTGATCGGCATATTCTAAGTCAATAAGCGAGCCTCCTGGTATAAAAGATCTACTCCTGAAAATTCAGACAAGGATGAAGTTATATCTAGGAGCATGTCTATGATAAAATTAAACAAGAATGAAGACAGAGTGGACACCCCTGACGGACACGACGCTTATTTACGCTTATTTTTCCGATTTATAAATGATTTAATTGATTCCGCATCATTTACAATTCATATTCCACTTTTCGTTTACAATTGCCGCCATTATTAAAAATTGTGTGTGTGTCAGTGTGTGTCATATTCCGGTATTGTTTTATGCTGTTTGTTTTACTACTCATTGACTATTGAATGTATTCACTTTGTTTCTTAAATGCTTCTAAGTAATTATTGTATATATATATATATTGAACAATTTTAATGAGAGATAAACAAAAGGTGTAATTTTATGAATATATTTAATTAATTAATTAATTAATTGACTTCTCTCTTTTCTTTTAATTATCATGAAACTAGTTTATTCCATTAGTTTTAAATACAGTGAATCTATTATTTACCGATAAATATTAAGCTCCATGATAGAGTTATGGAGATAGATAGACAGAGAGACAGACAGAAGGATTTGATTTTGACCGATTCGGTCTCGTGTGCTGTTGCGGATATGAGGACGGATGTCATTTCCCGGCTGCTCACACCTTGAAAGGGTGTTTCTTGAGAGATCTGAAAAGGAAGGTAGATTTGTTTTGGTCTTAGAGACCTGGGTGCGTGACCTCAGAGCCCAAGGGATTGAGGCCGGGATCACACACGGCCTTCTTATGAAAGGATTATTTGAGTATTAGCTCCGCTCTTAAAAGCCATTAGTGGGCACGCTTACTGACAGAGGCGGAAATCCGTGAGGTAGATTGAGGTGTGATATCTTTAGGATCGACCTTTTCTAACCCTTCCTTCCTTGTGAGAAGGTAGCATCGCTGCAGATGCTGGTTGTCCGACGGAAACACCTTACTGCTATCATACCCCTCCACAGTCAGTCTGGAGTAGGACTTCGCCCTCAGACCTTGAGTAGCTGCTTTTAGTCTGATCGTTCTCCAATAGACCTGCTTGGCATAGTAGAACCTTCAAGAACATATGTTCCAGCCAGTATAGCTCGGTTAGGTCATCACGATAGGCAAGCCCGACCACCACGTCAAGGTAGCAGCTACGTTCGAAGAGTTATGGAGATTGTTGCTTATTACTGAAATCATGAATGAATCATTGTTAGATCGTCCTGATATGGAACTCATCAGTGGCAACGCGCATCCACGGCACCTGCTACTCGCAAGATTCAACCCATGAAATTTGGTCTTGTGAGTGAACGCTAAAAAACTCTGGACTAGTGAGCTGGCATCTAACGGTGTTAATGTGTAACTCGAATCAATCTAGGGATTTAGCGCAACCTCACCCATTGTCTTCAATAGTTACAGAATACAACCGACAAGGTTGAACTCTACTGATCACGTATTCGCATCACTAGAACTCCAAGAATTTCCTCATGAAGTTAGTCATTAGATTTCAGGGATAAACAACAATCTCCATAACCCTATGGCGAAGAAACATGTAATGTGCTAACTGCCGAAGTCAGATGGGTGAGATCATACAAAATCCCTAGACCGATCAGAGATAGACATTAACACCATTAGATACCGGCTAAATGGTCCAGAGGTCAGGCGTTCGCTCGTAAGACCTTAGGTCCTAGGTTCGAATACTGCGAGTTGCAGGAGTCGTGGATGCACACTACCACTAATGAGTCCCAATACCAAGACGAAATCGCTGTCTTTCAGTGCTTCCATGTCATCTAATGTTGATCTAACAATGATTCATTCATGATTTCGGAAATAAATACTAACCTTCTTTTTGAAAACTAACTTACCATTGGTTCATCGGTATTCTTTTGAAATTGTACTAAACGTACACGTGTAATTTGTGGTTGATCTGTGTCAGATTCCATACGATCATCTTCATCATCATCACCATTTAGAAATGATGACAATGGTGGTGGTGTAACTCGGATCGCTTCAGGACCATAAACTTCTTCAGCTATTACATCATAAGTTTGTAATAATGCCTGAAATCAAATAATATGCATCATATGTTACATAGTTAAAATAATAATAATAACAGGGAGAATTGGAGATTGAACTTATTGAATATTGAAGCATTTTCAATGAAGTGGATAGAATGTTAGTTAGTGAATAAATGATTTTCTGACTAAAGTAGCTTGATATTCATTATACAGACATGGAGATCATTGTTAGACCACCATTAGAAATCTAGAAGCACTAGACGGCATCTTAGATTGATCAGAGTAAGATATTAACACCATTGGGTGCCGGCTGACTCAGTGGTCTAAAGGTTAAGCGTTCGCATGCGAGACTGTAGGTCTTAGGTTCGGTTCGTGAGAGCAGCGGGCGTCGTGGAAGCATAGTACGGATGAGTCCCTTGTTAGGACGAAACCGCCATGTCCGGTACTACCAGGTTTCTGATGTTGGTCTGATCGATTTATGATTTCATTAATAGGTTTGAAACAATGATGATTACGTAATAAGAAGTGTGAAAATGATTTCGTAATTATTATATTGTTTATTTTTCAAAGTTTGACCTATCACTTCCAATGTTGAACTATTGATTGAAACTTTTCTAATTGCATTTGATTATACTTGCTACTATTGAGATGGTGGAGAAGATTTGTAGCTCAGGTGGATGATTGTGGTGGTGGTGGTGTTTGGTTCTCTGAGCTGGGGATGTTTTGGTTGTGAAGCTTTCATTGTTCTTCTACTGAACAACATCATCGTTAGCGCAAACTTCAGATAGAAGGAATGAAGCGCATTCGAATTTCTCCACGTTTGACCTGTAGCTTGTTCTGCTAATCTCGATCTTGATTGGTTACTGTTGACCTTTAACCTGTCGTTGTTTGCAACTTTGTTTTGATTGCATCCCCCTTTTGATCTATTTCTTGATCCTGTGTCACCTATGATTTTCCTGATTGGTTGATAAATTCGGTCAATGTCGATGTGTTTGTTGATTGATGATTGACTGGTCAAACACCCAGCTCAGAGGACCAAACATCACCAACTTGCTACTATCAATATACCTGTCTTCCTATTATCAGCTTGTACTCTTTTTTAAACTATTACGTATAATTACGTAATCTATTTCAATGTAATCATTGACTAATGATTACATTGAGTTGATTAGTTTAACATTCTTATCATAGAGTAAAGTCTGATGACGATTTAATTGAAAACACCATTATTGTTCGCTTATTTGCATTCACAGGGTTGTGAAGATTGTTAAGTTACACATTTTGAAATCAGGAATCGATCAATGTTAGACCACCCATTAGAAACCTGGAAGCACTAGACGGCCGTTCCATCTTGGTATGGGGCCCTCATCAGCAGTGCGCATCCACGATTCCAGCACAATGTAGGATTCGAACCCGGGAACTTCGGTATTGTGCGCTCGCGCCTAAACCCTGGACCACTGAGCCGGTCGGTATCTAACGGTGTTAATGACTAACTTCATCCATTCACGGAGTTGCGAAACCAGAAAAAAAGTAAAATAAGTAACACGCACGCACACACACACACACACACTTACACGAAAATGAGGTTGTTTCAAATGAAATTTTAATTCTTCTATAATGGATACCATTTCAGTTTTATTCAAATTGGATAATTCATTTGATAACTAAATGATTTTTTAGAAAAAATAAATAAATAATTAAAAAACTTAAATTTTATCAAAAAAATTAATTATAGTGTACTTGAAAAGTGCACATCTATGTAGATTGAGCATTTTTGTCACTGTTAGCTAATCATCAGACAACATCAGTAACAATCTACTGTAGGAGGGAAGAAATCAGATAATAACGGAGAAAGAAATGAGGTAGAAGCGCTAGAGGTAGGTAGGGCACCCCGATTGCGTTAGAAGGCGAGCGTTCACTTGAAATTCTCAAGGTCAAAAGAAAAAGAGGAACACCAAACAATACATTATGACAAGAAATAAAGACATCAAAAGATTTAGTAGCAATTGTATAGAATTGGAGAGGAATTCCTAGGATAGAGTAGGTTAGAGAATGTTAGTCGGTGGTCTATGCTATCTGTTTAGGGGTAAGAGGCTTAAGTAAGCTAAGTAGATAACTCATTACGTTGAGAAATAGAGAAAGATATGAAAAGAATAAACAGCGATTAGATAGAACTTGAAAAAATGAGGTGCAGGACAGAGAGTAGATTGGAGAATGCTAGTCGGTGGCCTATGCTCTGTTGGGGGGGTTGACAGGCTTTCGCTAATTTATAAAACAGATGACGAAGACTATAGTTAGTACTGTTAATTTGTAACAATGGGAAAGGATGCTAAGACTATAGGAGAATATGGGATTGAACAACAACGGCCGGATATGAAATAATGAGTTGTCATAATAGCCTTCAGATGTGTATCGATTCCTTACACAAACCTTTCTTTGAGTCACTTCTTAGCATTTTATAGAGAATCGTGAAAGATAATTCATGCACTGGGATATGGACATGAGTTGATCACTAAGATCTAGGATTGGACTGTTGATTGATTTGTAATTCTCCATAGAATTACTACATACAAAAAAACTGCCCATAAATACGATTATACACGTATTGTTTCGTTATTATGATTCACTGGGCTTCTTTGGTAACCGGATTCATTAATATTTGATGTTTTAGTGAGCTTACATAACATTTCGGAGACAGACACATGAGAAGAATGAACAAAAATCAAACAGAACTGGAAAGGTAAACCTTTGGACTGGTCGGTGGCCTATGCTCCATCGGGGGGTAACAGCCGTAAGTATGTAAGTAAGTACAGAATATCTTATGATAATTGTATTGACTAAGTTAGGAATAAGTTTGAGAGAGAGAAGAAAGTCTATAAGATAGTACTTCAAGACACTAACGAGTGTTTTAGGTTGTATCAAATAATGTAACGTTCCTGTTAAATAACGATAATCAACAAATTATTATCTCTACTGAAGTTGATATAAATTCATTCTTTTCGATTTGACAAGTCTTTGGACCTTGTCAATTAGTTGCTTATAACCTTGATTGTTTAAGAATATAGACATTTAGTCATGCCTGATCAAATGACAGTTGGCTCATTCGCCTTCTCCACTTTGCTACGTTTTGATTCTACGCTCTTTATTCGCATGTCTGAAGATACAAGTGTTTATTAACAGCTGTCTACGCAAAATACTTCGGATTCGTTGGCCAGATAACATCAGCAACAACCTACTGTAGGAGAAAGCAAACCAGATTCCTTCAGTGGAGGAGGAAATCAGGAAGAATCGGTGGAAGTGGATAGGACATACACTACGAAAAGCACCGAACTGTGTTACAAAACAAACCATCACTTGGAAACCTCATGGCGAGAGGAGAAGAGGAAGGCCAAGGAACATATTACGCCGAGAAACAGAGAAAAATATGAGAAGAATGAACAAAAATTAGACAGAACTGGAAAGGGAGTTGGTTGGAGAAAATTGGTGGGCATCCTATGCTCCACTGTCGGGTAACAGGCGTAAGTAAGTAAGTAATTAAGTAAGTATTCTCACGTCTGTCTGCATGAATGATTACTTGAAATAAATTCATCCAACTAAATCCATATCTGGCTTTTTATTTTATCGCCATCACACAGCTGACGTTCGCGTAAGCACATGATATACGGAAACAAAATAGAAAACTTATTTCACAGCATATTCAATCATTCATTCAAATCGGAAACAGATCTTGAGGGCCCACTGTTACGCCTGCACGTAAACACGTCAACTTGATATACTTGAACTATTACGAGTATACCTTAGTCGGAATACGAAAGCGAGGATCGACGATCCGGTGACACGACATACTACTCAAATCCGATTATCCCAACCCACATATTGAGTAAAAATAAGAAGACGTGATATGAAGTAGAACCTGTATTCTACAAGCATCCGGAAAGTACGAGGTCCGAATCCAGAAGAGAACCAGGATCCCAGACTAGGGGTCCGGGACCGGGTCCTGGTCATAAAACGTTACACATAATGCGTATTCATACATTTTGGTCGAATGAGAAACAGCATCGAAATCTATGACATTGACAGTTAAGACGACCAATAGCAAACAACATTTGAAGTGACATTGATAGTCAGAACAACCAATAAGAAATAACATTGGGGCACGTGACATTGATATCTACTAGGACGACCATAAAATTGACCAGTATGAATTAACTAATAAGAATTGACCAGTAGTAATAATTCTCTTAGGATATTGGATATTGAATATCCTAACACCCACTTATAAAGGGTCAATAAATTCATACTCTGAAACAAAATCTTCAGTTTTTGGAGAACATTTATGACAGCTGCTGATAGTTAGTACAGATCTAACATTTTATTGACAAAAAAAATTTTTACTAATAAATACATTTATGTAGAAATGAGAAAATTATTCGAAACACAATTAAATTAAACATTTCTACGATTTTAATAATTCATCTCTTATAAATAAAAACAAAACAAAATGAAAATGTCACATATAAATAATTCTAAAAAACACGTCAAACATCAAACATACTTCAGAGCAAATTTCTGTTGCATCCGCTGGAACACGAAAATCACTACCAGGTGAATGTGTATTAATATGATCATAAAGCTAGGTCGGGGATAAAATAACAAAAAATAAAGATTGATCACAAATAAAAGTTCATTTAAGATGAAATGATATTTCGGAGCAGTAGTTAGCCACCGAAGTGTTAAGTTCGTCACTAGGTGTACGCTTGAAAAGCTATTACGTACGAGTTCACCTTAGTCAATAAACGTGAACGAGACAATGAACCAGAGTCCAGATAGGCTACCTTGAATCCTAAGCTGAAGAAAAAAAGTCTTTGTAAGCGTAGAAAGTATATTCTACAACCACACCCAGCAATCACACAATACAATCAAAGATACAACTCTCGTTTATTTATACATCAGAGAAACATCCTTAGGACAGTAATGAAAATAGCACACTAAAACACACAGCAGCCAATCACAACCATGGATTGTCCTGGTGGGAATTGAAATCTCAAGGTCAACTGGTAAGCCCATGGTGGCAAACGTGAAATCCAAAATAAGGTATTGATCAAGCGAGTTCTGGGGATCTAACATCCCCAACAGGAAGACAATGGAGAAGATCACGCAATATCGTGAATTTATTCAAGCTAGACACTAACACTTGAATGCCGACTGAGTGATGAGGATGTTAAGCATTCGCGCGCGAGACTGTAGGTCTTGAGTCGGGATCCCCGCGAGCAAGGATTGTGAATGAGCCCTATTGATGACTATCATACTAAGACTTAACGTTTATCTAATGTTTTCACACTTCAAATGGTAATCTAGCTAAGATCAATTTATAATTTTCGCAGTAATAAGGGAAATTAATCTTAAAACTAAGTAATATTTTTTATCCAATAAACTTATCGATCTATGGCAATTTGAAGAATAAGCTGATGATTGGTAGTCAGCACAAGTCCAACCACAACAATCTGGTGGTGAAGATTGCATTCCTTGTTCATGAACTTTTAAATCATGTCTGTTCCAATTATCATGCTACAGTATATTAAATAGATCCACGCGGGATATTTGAAAACCTAGTTTGGCGGTAATTTTCTAACATTTCGTCATTTCTTATGGGGAAACCAACACAAGTTGAAAGAAATAGTTGAAAGAAAGGAAACAAAGTAAACTATTTTTAGTATGTTTAAAAATCATGACAGATTTAATTATGTCAATGTCATGCCATCTATGGTCAAGGTAATGTCGTTAGTGACCTTGAATGTGTTATTTGTGTGTATGTGTATGAAGTAGGATACGGAAAGTATGTGTACTTTTGTGACATGTAGTGCTGGAGCTGAAACAATATCACATAAATTATGGGTGTGTGCATGTGTGTATGTGTTTGTAGAATTGGGTCCTACATCTTTTAGTGAAACTTCTGTTCCGTTTTAAATATATCAAAATTTCGAAGAAGTGACATGCATAAAGTCACAAATCACATCACAAATACAAATTTCTACTTATTGGGATATTCAGTTAATCAGTCAGTCAGTTAGAACGTAGAAATTCGTACTTACGTACATCAGTTCAGGTTGCCATGCACCATCAGCACACAGACGCAACTGTCAGTTTAAATCCAAGAATGATAGCGATAGTAGAAGTAGCAGCAGTACTGGAGAAGATTAGGGAGCGAAGATATGATTCGAGAAGTATAATTCAGTGAGATAACTTTAGAAAGAGAAAGATAGAGGTGATGACGAATTCAGAAGATTAGGATTTCATAGAACACAAAGAGTGGATGCACCTACGCCATTGCAAACGATTTTGAGCCATGTCATTCAAGGTCTTTAACTATCGATTACTATCATCTCGCGGACCCCAACCAGTTAGCGTACATCTACCAACATGACTCAGTTTACTTGTCAGTAACTTCATGCATTTCTGCCATGTTTTGGTTTGGCCGACCATAGCTTTCTTCAAACCTATTCCTGTACCACAAAACATAGCTAGTCGATTCAGTCAGTGATTGGGCATTCGCGATACATGTTCTCAACTGATGAAGTTGGGATATTATTACCAAATTCTTCCTAAATTATTTAAAACTATCAAGTTCATTCCTTAGTAACGATATCTACAGTTTCCTAGTGTCCAAATCTTCATGAATTAGGCGTATAAACAATACTGAACAGATTGTCAGTACACTAGTAACGTGTGCCAGTATTTATTCAAGTATATTTTAAAACATTATTTTAATGAGTTTTTATATTATATGAATAAAAATTGGTTTCAGGTGAGATTAGCAAATGTTATAGAGTTGTGGGGATTATAGAATTTCATTGAAATTACGAATCGAATAATGATAGACCGTTATTAGAAACCTGGAGGCACTGGATGATCGTTTTCGCCTAGTATGGGACCCTGTCGGGTGAAAGCAGTACCCATCTGAAGAAAACAATCAATGAGGTCGTGAACGACTGTGGACTGATCGAGGTTAGACATTAACACCGCTAGATGTCAACACAATGGTCTAGAGGTTAACGTCCGCACACGAGACCGAACACGCTGGGTTTGATTCCCGAGAGCGGAGATCGTGGATGAGCACTATTGATGAGTCTCATATTCCAATGATCTCAAATATATGTAATATACTCCACAGTTAATACAAGCACATTATATTTGTGTAACTCCAAGTGATCAATCAGAGAAACGATCTCATTCTAACTAATATAACATTAATACACACAGTAAGTAAACAAATCTCGCTAATTATGTAACATACAGTAGCCACCGTGGGAATATTTTCACTGAAACAGTTAAGGATGTTAGATCCCCAGGATTCACTTGAAAAAGGTCCGAATTTTGTAATATTATTCTGAAATTTTGAATTTCCACGACTTCGCGCCGGTTGACCTTCAGCCTACATTTCCCACTCAAAAAATCCTCGACAGTCATTGGTTGATGGATTATTTTATTTAAGCTATTTTGTAGCTCTCCCAAGGACGTTTCTATTATTGTATAAATAAACTCGATTTGTGTGCTTGTCAACCACTTCGTATTTTTTGGGTGCTTATAGAATACACTCTCTACGTCTAATCAATACGTCTTGATCTAGTTAGCTAGAGGTGAGACAAAAGGATTATAATAGCCTATCGTGTCGTATCGTATCGTTGACCATCGTTCCGTTTACTGAGTAAGGTGAACTCATAATATCATTCAAGCATATCAGAAACATAAAGGTATATATACTGCTGAATTGAATAGTGAGTAGACGATTTGCGGGAAAATATAAACCAAATAAATAATTAATAAAACACTTGAATATTGATCAAAAAAAAGTACTTACCTCTAATAAACAATGCAAATGTTCATTTTCAAATACTGATTGAAATAAATCTTTATCTTTTTCAAAACATTCTGTAAGACATTGCATCTCTTCAAAACTATCTAATACAGCACTGACAGCTAAATTAAATAAATAAAAGTGTACATATGATTGAAAATAAAAATTAAATGAAAGAAATGGACAAAAAGTTGATTGATTGTGATGATTTTTTGATAAGATTAAAAGGAGAATTCAAGACTTAGATTTTATTCTCTTTGAGACACTTAACCAAGTCGATTCTAAACTGTCCTTTTCTTATATTTCTTTCCTAATCTCAGTAAATATTTTCCGATCATACTTTTGCTTCTCAATTTTTAAAACTCTTCTCTTCGGATTTCGTAATGAGTAGTATCGACCAGACCCAAAGGAGATAAATAACCATGGACTTTTAAAATTAATCGCGACTATATGACAGTTTATTGTCTATCCTACTAAAATAAATTGCAGACAAACTGAACGGCTTATGTTTCGGAAATCGGCTTCCACTGACCCGGATAGTGTTCTACACAGAGTGATGATCTAAGGTAGTGTGGTGCGCGCTACTTATAAATAGTATATGACGTGAGTGTAAACGTAATGTCTGGCAGCAGAAGATGGGAGAAGACGAAGAAATGAAGAGCGGGAACACAATGGAATTTGTATGAAACGCATGAATAAGTGAAATGTCAGACAATGGATTGATGTTGATGTCCTCACCTGAGTTTTCGTGAAAACAACAGTAGTTCTGTCATCAACGACTTTTTCGTCAGTTCTACTTTTCTGGATGATATATACTGTTCAGCGCCACGTGATGATCACGAATGGTTCTTAACACTTGGGGATCAGTTATCATCATCCTATTCAACCCACCCCTCCTGTTATCCCTTTTTACTCTTAACAAGAGTATCACATTGAAATCAACTGATTGAAGCTTCGAAACCAAAATATACATGATGAATGTTTGTGAATATTAACAGTTACACAGCAATTGAATGATCAAAAAAGAGATAACATGTTCACAGAAGAGCACAAAATATCCTAGATTTCAATCGATTCTCGCAGAGATCTTGTCTACTTACTAGAACTAAACAGTTTTATATTAGGACACAAAAAGAAAGTAGCTTATCTTAAACAACAAATCAAATCAGTAGAGTTCAGTAGTCATTCAGATAAAAAAAAATAGCACAAAACTAAACAATATTGTATTGTTTTTCACTTACCAGCTGATGTAATTTCATCATCTTCATCTAAGATATCATCATCTGATTGAATATTTGGTTCAGTATAAAAACTAGCCCATTTTGTACTGGAAACAGCAGCTAATACAGCACCCTATAAGTGTTTAGAGGGGAGTTTTTTTGTTGAATATTTTGAACATTGTACAAATAGTAATAATAATAATAATAGTTTTAGTTCAGTCGGTCAGTCAGTTGCAACGTAGAACTTCGTACGTATGTACATAAGTTCATGTTGCCATACCGTATTAGCGCAAAGACGCAAATGTGAAATCAAATCTCATAGTGATAAAGATAGTAGAGGCATTAATGGTACTAATGAAGAAGACTAGGGTTTGAAGATATTATTCAAGAAGTATAATTCAGTGAGATGAATTTAGAAGGAGAAAGAGATTCAGAACGTTGGAATTAAAAAGTACACAACGAGTGAATGCAGCTGCGCCATTGCAAACGATTTTGAGCCACGTCGTTCAAGGTCTATAACCATTGGTAACTTTCGTCTCGTAGACCCCAACCAGGTAGTTGACAACTACCGACATGGCTCAGTCCACTCGTCACTGACTTCATGAATTTCTGCCATGTTTTGGTTTGGCCGCCCCTAGCTTTCTTCCAACCTATTCCTACACTACAAAACAAAGGTCGTCGAGGCAGTCGGTGGTTAGCCATACGTAACACATGTCCCAACCACGTCAAATGATGAAGTTTCAACACTTCATCTATGGATCTGCCATCCTTAACTGGTACTTGTTCCCTAACAACAGCATTGCTTACTCGGTTTTCCCACGATACACAAGCAATGCTTCTCAGACATCTATGATCGAAAACCAATAACCGACGAACATCTTCTATTTTTAACGGCCATGTTTCACATCCATATAGGAGAACGGAGCAAACTGCTGCGCAGTACTTTTGTGCTTTGGTTAGAAAACGGATATCTCGCCTACGCCATAAACGGTGTAAATTGGCAAAAGCCAATCGAGCCTTCTGTATCCGAGCTGAGATTTCGTCAGTTATCAGGCCATCAGGACTGACGAGAATCCCCAGATAAGTGAAGTGGTCAACACGCTCGACTACATCACTCCCTATCACTAGTTCACATGCTGATGCAACCCAATCCTGAAGCAATATTTTACATTTCGAGGGTGAGAACCGCAATCCCGAAAATGCTTGCATTGTTGCTTATGGTAGTCAGAAGACTGCATTTTGTCAGCGTCTTTACCGAATAGAACTATATCATCGGCATATTCAAGAACAGTAAGCGATTTTCCTGGTAGAAGGTCTACTCCTGAAAAATCTGACGAGCTTAATGTTAACTCTAAGAGGATGTCTACGACAAAGTTAAACAAGAATATATATAGAGAGAGAGTGGGCAGCCCTGACGGATACCACTTGATGTAGAGAATTCAGATGATAGATAGTTGTAGTTCAATTATATGGCTATTGATAATCATAAAAGATGCAATAACGGGACGAGTATTATAAGAATAGTTTTAAACCGTTGGGAATGTGGAACTTGAAATTATTGTGTTTTTTAATTTTTGGCTTTTAAATTATCAGCTGCTTTAATCAGAGCATATTTTTGTGTTTTATAGAAGAACGGAAATTCATGTGACCAAAACTCTCAGGATGAATTTATGCACGATTATGACATATAAACACATTCAGATTGTGTAATTTACTAAGTAGCTAGATTATTATTAATATATATTTATATTCCTTGTATCCTGGGATTTTCTATCGAGTAAACAAACGAGTACCGGATATGGATCGCAAGTTGACTGATCAAGTAGTAAAACGCTTTAAGTTGAAGTGGTTTGGACATGTGTTAAGTATGCCCACCAACCGACTACTTTGACGAGCGATGTTTTATGATGTAGAAGTAGGTTGTAAGAAAGCTACGGGCAGCCAAATCATAATATAGTACAAATCCATGACGGCATTGACAAGTAGACTGAACCATGTAGGTATATGCAGACTAGGTGGTCGGGGTTCGCGAGACAATAGCATTCGAAGGTTAGAGACTTTGAATGACATGGCTCAAAATCGTTTACAATAGCGCACATGTATCAGTAATTTATGTTTTAGTCAAATCCAATATTTTTCTTTCTCCTTAAATTTATTTCACGAAGATAAGCACGAATCATATCTCCAGTCCTTGATCTTTTTCCCGTTACCAATTATACTGCTATAACCTCTACTATTAAGCGGTTGGAACAGACAAATTCACCTCATTTAGTGTTGGGGATGTTAGATCCCCAGAACTCGCTTGGTAAATGTCTTTATTTTAGATTTTATTCATGGGCTGTTCAGTTGACCCTTGAGATCACATTTTCCACCAGCATAATCCTTGACTGTGATTGGTTACTGTGTTATTTTCGTGTGCTATTTTGTGACTGTCCCAAGGCCGTCTCAATGGTGTATAAATAACCGAGATTTGTGTGCTTGAATTCATTGTGTGCTGGCTGGGTGTTTGTAGAATACACTTCCTACGCTATATCAAGACTTCTTGCTAGTACACTTGGGTCAAGGGATCTGAGTAACCTACCTGAACGCTGGTTCATTGTTTTGCTCTCGTTACTCGACTAAGGTGAACTCGTAATTCAGTCAAATTATTAACAAAGGAAGAACAAATCACTACTTCTCATTAAAACCTGGAGAATTTCCTCACAAAGCTAGTCACTAGTAAGCATGAGCGAGAACAAATCGCCTAAGGTTCAATTCCCGCTGGTGCAGGTCGTAGATAATGCGCATTGCCATAGATAAGTCCTATCATTAGACAGAACAACTGTCTAGCGCTTCCAAGTTTCTAAACGTGCTATAACATCGATCGATTAATGGCTTGAATTTTTCATTTGTCCCCTGCAATTTTCCAAATTGATCTATGATTAAGAGTTGATTCGTAACAGAAAAAGTTCCCTTTTATTCAAAACTATACATATTGAAAGAATAAATTATTTTAAATTGAGAAAAGAAAGTATTCCATTTTTTTTCGTTAACTAGAACGAGTAACAAGACAGAAATAATTGTGAAGTTCTTTTTTTGTTTTCTGTCAACCGATATGATTGATTGCTTATTCGGTTACATAATGGCTTTCTTTCTTTTCTACACTTTTTTTAAAATAAACATTTTTTACAAACTTACTAACTTATTCAGAGAAAATTCATTTTGAATTAATACTTGGAATAAGGGAATAAAATGAAGTGGGCAATTTTTCGGGATAAAATGAAGAAAATATTTTGTCGTTAATATAGTAAAACAAAGATTTTACGTTGTAAATCATGAATGAATTATTGTAAGAGGACCATTCGGAATCTGGAAGCACTGAAAGACAGCCGTTTTGTCCTAGCATGGGATTGATCATTGGCAATGTACATCCACGATTTTTACTACTTGCAGGATTCGAACCCAGGACCTTTGGTCTCGCGCACAAACGTATAACCTCTGGACCATAGGACTTGTCCCAGTATTTGGACGAATTAATCAATTGATTTTTCTGGAATTACTGTTCATACGTCTTACAACTTTATCGATTATACCGCTTATATCTTGGTTACTCTCTTATAATGTGTGTATGCATGCTTACTTAGCTAACTAAAAAGTTCAGTAAATTTTTGTCTGATCATAAGTACTTAGTCATGGCCTTATCACCATCTCCACTTCGTTTCGCTTTACTTGTACGCTTTGTATACTCATATCTGTCTATGTGTGTTGGGAACGACGTTAGATCCCCAAAACCCACTTGGAAATGGTTCTTTTTTTTTATGTTTTCGTGCATACGTCCCTTAGTTGACCTTCAGCTTACATTTCCCACTTGGAAATTCCTTGACTATCATTGGTTGATGGTTTATTTTAGTACAGTATTTTGTGGCACACTCAAGGAGATTTCTATCATGTTTATATAAACTTGATTTGTGTGCTTAGACACCTCGTATTTTCTTGCTGCTTGTAGAATACACTTTCTACGCCTTATCAAGACTTCTTGATATACTTAGCCGGACCAGGGACAAACAGATTAGAATAGCCTATCATGTCACTGCAGCAACGCTGTTATTAGGAATCGGGTGCTAGGTAAGAATGGCAGATCAATTGATGAAGTAATGAAACTTCATCAGTTGAGGTGCTTGGGACATGTGTTGCGTTTGCCTAACCACCGACTGCCTCGTCGAGCTTTGTTTTGTAGTGTAGGAGTAGGTTGGAAGAAAGTTAGGGGCGGCCAAACCAAAATATGGCAGAAATCCATAAAGTCATTGACGAGTGGACTGAGCCATGTCGGTAATTGTCGACTACCTGTTTGGGGTCCACGAGATGATAATAATCGATGGTTAGAGACCTTGAATGACATGGCTCAAAACCGTCTGCAATGGCGCCGGTGCATTTATTCTTTGTGTTCTCTCAACTCCTAACCTTCTGAATTCGTCATCACCTTTACCTTTCTCTTTCTAAAGTTATCTCACTGAATTATACTTCTTGAATAATATCTTGGAACCCGAATCTTCTCATTTATTAGCAATAGGTCTACTATCTCTTCCACTATGGGATTTGAATTGACAATTAGATCTCTGTGCTAATATGGTATGGCGACATGAACTGATGTACTTACGTACGAAGTTCTACGTTGCATCTGACTGACTGACTGTCACTGCATCATTTCTCTTCGCTCAGTTTACTGAGTAAAGTGAACTCGTAACAGTATTCAAGCATATCAATGTGTCAGCAACTGCATGGATTAAACTCATCCAACCAAAATCGTCGCACAAACGAGGTGTACATTACCTCTAAGCACATGGGATAAACAGGAATCGACAAGAAGATTTATGTCACAGCTTATTCAATCAATCGAAATATAAAAGTCATGGGCTACCACCAAAAAAGAGAAAAAACCACACACAAAAGTAAAAATTCTCATGATTATCATGAATTACTTTAAGTTTACGTCTTGCATTAAAACGTCTCATCTCTTCTACGGTTTCATGTAAATGTGTTTTAGATGCACGTGCTTTTTGATTAATCCATGGATGATGTAAAGCTTCTTCAATAGTTAAACGTTGTGTTGGATTCACTTCGAGTAGACGTGATACTAAATCTCTTGCTTCCGGTGATATCATATTCCATACTTGAGGTTGACGCTAATAGGATCATTTTATTTTGAGATAAAAATAAAACAGGAGTATTAAATGAATTTTTTTTTGATTGATAAGTTCTTACTAGTAAGCTAAAAAGAAAGTAATAGTTTGGACATTGAACAATGTGTTAACGAATACAATTAAACTCTCCCTGTGTGTGTGTGTGTAGTGTGTCGATTTACTGCGTGTTCTTAAGCTCGGTAATTAACTGGTTCAGACAATCGTTGCCAAATAGCGTCTGACGGTTTATAAATCAGAAGATGAATTCGTAGTGATGAATACGTTTATTAAAGACACACCACAAAGCGAAGCGGAGAAGCAGTGAATAAAAACAATGAAGCGACGTGAATTGGAGAAGGCGTTTGAGCCAACTCCATGGGTTACGTGACTAAGAATATGTAGTCAGATAAAAATAAGACAGACAATATGACAAGCGAAATAGGCGCGCACACACATGAATAAAAGCGACGAATGATTGACAAGGTCAAATGACAAGTGGAGCACGTTATGTGAGCGCATAAAAACCAGACAATAATATAAGAACGAATGGTACATATAAATTGTTGCAATAGAAATGTCTTTGGTTAAATAAATTAATCGAAAGGGCTTAACCAAGTTAGATGTAAGCGAACTGGAATATATGTGGAGGCACTACATATGGGATATGAAAACATTTTCAGGCGCTTATCATTATCTAGGTATGTTACTCATTTTATTATAAGGCTTATTTACGTATTTACACCTGTGTTACCCTTCATGGAGAGCATAGACCACCAACCCGCATTCTCTAACCAACTCTGATTTCCAATCGTTCCTAATCTGTTGATGTCAATCTCCAATTCCCAGTGTAATGTATCGTTTGATCTTCTTCTTCGTTTCAGCCTTGAGGATTCCAAGTTAGTGCTTGTCTAGTGATACACTTGGGTGCTTTTCTTAATGTGTGTCCTATCTACCTCTAGTGCTTCTTCGTAATTTCTTCCTCTACTAAAATTTAGTTTCTTCTATCCTACAGTAGGTTGTTGCTGATAGTGTTTGGTCAGAGAATCCGAAGTATTTTGTATAGACAACTGTTAATAAACACTTGTGGATGCTGGGTTTCGTGATTCTTCAATTTTCAGCTTCATATAATAGAAATGTGTGGACATTTGTATTGAAAATTGTGACTTTGGTGTTGGTCGACCGTTGTTTTGAGTTCAAGATGTTCTTTAGTTGTAGGCCCTACTGGCCCTGCTTGTAAGATCCATTTTTGAAGGCTTTGTTTGTGGAAATCCATGCCTGTATACATTTGTAATTTGTCCTTATTGATTCCTTCAGTTGTACATTTTGTTAATCAGTTCGATTTAATTTTGAGATGATAATATTTGTATTTTATTATAGTTTCTACTTCTTTTGCCTTTACTGAGTTTCTATGTTTCTTTCTGAACTGCATTATGTTGTTTAAGCTAATACTGGGTGATGGCGACAGCCATATTATTCCTCGTTTGATTAGATTGCTTGCTTTGTCTGGAATAGTGCATTTTGATTGTGAATTGAAGCAATCTTCCAGAGTAAGAAACACTCTGTGTTATAAAGCAATCAAATATTATGTTTCGAAGGAATCTTATCTATCCAGATGGGATAGAGTATCATTTATTTGTTGCTGTTGATTTGAATAATTGAACAATTGTTGATGGAATAACTGAGTAGTAATATTATTTTAAGTAATGATGTAAAGATTGATATTTATGATGAATATTAGAACCGTTATTTACTCAAATCGCCTGTTTTGATTTCAACTGGGAAGACGCGTATCTAAACTACTTGGACAGTTATTCCTTAGTTCAAACCTCAGTTTGGATCCTACACTGCTTTAACTTTACATCAGCATCAGATCCTCTTAGTTTATCAATGATCATGCCCAGGTATGTAAAGCCTCTTCGTCAAGCATGATTTGGTTGGTACTTCCTTTGTTACATATAAGGATCTTACTTCTTCTCTTGTATTTGTTGAGACTTACTGCTTGCACAGACTACTGCAAACACTGACAGACTTCATCTAGTTCATAATTGTGGAAACTCATTGATGACGAATGAAACATTTCAAAGAAAAACTTTAAACCCAATAGTTCTACCAATGAAATTTGATGTTTTGAAACTGTAAAAAGTCTTTTTAAGGCTGAACACGAACCAGGTGAATTAATGAATGAACCATATTTTCAAGATCACAATCAGTCAATATTTACAAATTGGCATTGTGCGATTTGTAAGTCAAGCAGCAATCATCTCTTTGATGATAATATAATAGTCATATTCGAACATGTTTACTCTGACCCTTTCTCTTTCTTCTGGTGATCGACAGGATTATGAAGACGTCGACATCTAGAGGGAAACACGGTATCCAGTGGACAGCTAGGATGCAGATGGATAATCTGGCTCTTCTATCGCACACGCAACAACAAATGCAAGAGAAGACGATCAGTGTAGCAGCAGCCTCTGTAGCAGTAGGTCTCAACATACATAAAGGAAAAAGAGAAATTCTCCGATGCAACACAACATGCACCAACCAAATCACTCTTGATGGAGATGCCTTGGAGGACGTTAACACCTTGACATATCTGGGCAGCATAATCGACAACCATGGTGGATCCGATGCAAATGTGAGGGCACGGATTGGCAAAGCAAGGGCTGCATTTCTACAATTGAAAAATATCTGGAACTCCAAACAACTTTCAACCAAAACCAAAATCAGGATTTTCAATACAAATGTCAAGACAGTTCCACTGTATGGAGCGGAAACATGGAGAACTACCAAAGCCATCATCCAGAAGATACAAGTATTTATTAACAGTTGGATTCGTTGGCCAGACACCATCAGCAACAACGTACTGTGGGAGAGAAAAAGCCAGATTCCTTCAGTGGAGGAGGAAATCAAGAAGAAGCAGTGAAAGTGGATAGGACACACTGAGAAAAGCACCCAACTGCGTCACAAGACAAGTCCTCACATGGAAACCTCAAGGCAAAACGAAAAGAGGAAGACCATAGGAACACATAACGTCGAGAAATAGAGAAAGATATGAAAAGAATGAACAAACATTGGACAGAACTGGAAAGGGAAGCCCAGGACAGACAGAGTTGATTGGAGATAACTGGTCAGCGGCCTATGCTCCATTTTCGGGTAACAGGCGTCACTAAGTAAGTAAGTAATCTTCAAAAATTGTGCTCAACTCCTATGTTCAACTACATGTTAAGTATTGGATCCAATGCACCGGGATTTCATTCACATAATTAACAACAAAAAAATCAATAAACAGCTCATCTTCTTTACACACACACACATAAAACTGTCTACCCATAACCTACATGATAACGTCCAGAGACGATTTGTGTGAACAGTACATCACGAGTTCCATAAAATGGCAATGATCCACTAAGGAGAAGAAATAACAACACACCACAACTCCATGCATCAACAGCTTTACCATAGGATTCATGACGAATCATTTCCGGTGCCATATAATGTGGTGTTCCAATACGACCTAAGGTTGGTGATGATGGATGATATAAGAAATTAGAGAGAGAGAGAGAGAATAGAATTCAATGGAATATAGAATATTGAACATTATTAGTACAATGTATGATATAAGAAGATTCAGTGGGGTGGGGGGGCAGGGGGATTGTTCAATTGTCAATATTCGCCAGTAGTTTTGTTTTACTGTGAGAATGAAATTTAATATAATTAGTATGGAAAGCTAATCAGAGGTGACCGAACAAGAAGGATGAATATATATATTAGCGATTAAGAAAAGGATTGACTTTATGAGGAAGTGATACATATACATATATAGGAAAACCATATCGTAAATCGTTTATTTGCAAAATATCAGTTCATCATATTATCGAACTGGACTGTTCCTGTTGCAAAACATCAATCCATTGTCACTACTATTCATGCGTTTCATACAAATTCCATTGTGTTCTTCTAACTCTTCCTTTCTTTCTTGATCTTCCCCCCCCCATATTCTGCTGCCAGACATTACGTTGACACTCACGTCATATACTACTTATAAGTAGCTCACACCACAGCAGTACTTTCAGATCTCGGACACCGAACATTAATAACACGTAACATTGAGAAATATTGCATAATGTGTAAACAATTGTGGATACATATTCTATTAGAAAAATGTTGAAATCTTGGATAAAGAAACTACTAAGAATATTATAGAGTAGTAATCGGAAAGATTAGGGTTTGAAGATATTATTCAAGGAGTATAAACCAGTGAAATAAATTTCAGAATAGGAATATTTTGTGTACTTTAGATTTATCTCACATGGCCGTTAAGAGTTGCAGACATTCGTACGTTATTAGTATTCGATTATAGATGTTTTCGAAACAAAGATCGTGTATCCTGAGACAACCGAGTAAGCAATATTGTCGTTAGGAAACGAGTATTATGTAGCCATTGCAGATCGATAGATGAAGTGGTGAAACTTTATCAGTTGAGGTGGTTGGGACATGTGTTGCGTATGCCTAACCACCGACAACCTAGAAGAGATACGTTTTGCGATGTAGGGATAGGTTGGAAGAAAGCTAGGGGCGGCCAAACCAAAACATGGCAGAAGTGAATGAAGTCACTGACAAGTGGACTGAGTCATGTCGGTAGGTGTCGACTTGACCTGGTCGGGGTCCGCAAGATAATAGTAATCAATGATTAAAGAACTTGAATGACGTAGCTCAGAATCGTTAGTAATGACACAGGCGCATCCACTTTTTGTGTTCTCTCAAATTCTAATATTCTGAATTCCTCATCACCTCTATCTTTCTCCTCCTAAAGTTATCTCACTGAATTATACTTCTTGAATAACATCGTCAAACCCTAATCTTCTCAATTACCGCTAATATACTTCTACTAAATATATTACTATGGGATTTCAATCAACAATTCAATCTCTTTGTGTTTACCTGGCATGACAACTTGAACTGATGTACGTACGTACAAAAACACATTGACATACCCAATGTCCATCATATATTCAATTAAAAACGGTAAAAAGTGGATGGTATTTTGAAACTCTCAATCTAACTCGTCCGCCTGGGGGGTTACTGCCATTGGTTCCAAGCCCAATTAGAGGAGCAGAGTTGGGCATGGCAGCTAGTAAGCCCATCCATCTCGTAGGAAAAAATAAAACTAACTCACCAATAAAAAAATAAAATACGCTAACCAGTAAGTAAGTAAGTAAATTATACTCAATGCAGTTACTTTTTCACACTTACCACATTGATCCGATCGTAATGAAACAAAAATTTCTTGATCAACTGTAAGTGGTGAATCTTTTAGGTGATTCGCGATATATTTTATTTTCAAATATTACGAAAACAGAGAAAAATATAATATGAAAAGAAAATAAAAAAAAGAGGAAATACAGATTAGACAAGTGTAATTTACAGAATATTATGTGAATGTTTAGAATAACACAAATATCAGCGGACAGTATTTATTGTTTTACCGAATAGAGTTGTCATCAGGCTTAAACTCTCCTACTATACTTACTTACTTACTTACGCCAGTTACCCGACAATGGAGCATAGGCCGCCGACCAGTTTTCTCCAACCAACTCTCTCCTAGGCTTCCCTTTCCAGTTCTGTCCAGTTTTTGTTTTTTGCACTCCTATCTGTCTCTATTTCTAGGCGTAGTGTGTTCCTTGGCTTTCCTCTTTTCCTTTTGCCTTGAGGGTTGCATGTGAGGGCTTGTGTTGGGACGCAGTTTGGTACTTTACGTAGTTTGTGTCGTATCCATTTCCACTGCTTCTTCCTGATTTCCTCCTCCACTGGAGGAATCTGGTATGTTCCTTCCCACAGTACGTTGTTGCTGATCATGTCTGGCCAACGAATCCGAAGTATTTTGCCAAGACAACTGTTAATAAACACTTGTGTTTTCTGGATGATGGCTTTGGTAGTTCTCCAATTTTCCACTATTGATAAAAACTTATGATTTTGTAATGTATTTGTTTTACTGTTAACGCTGACAATACATTTGTTTTCCTATTATCAACTTGTACTTTTGAGAAGACTGAAGCAGGCGAGGAAGATTGTATTATGCAATAATTTAAACTCTGAGACGATTAAAAGCAAAAACATTACATTGAATACTCACTCTATTTGCACACCATCTTTGAGTCGTCGTGACTTCCAACACTCCATCCTTCTTCTTCCATTCCTGTTGTTGTCGCTTCCTTTCCTTCCTCTGTTGGTACTCAATTTACTTCTTGCTTTTGCTCCATTTGCTTTCCGTTTTCCTCTAGTGACCGTGAGAGTTCTTCTTTCACGTCCCTTCTTATACTACTTATATCGTTCGTATAAGTAGCACACACCACACTTTTACCTATTATGTGTAGTGACACAGGTATCTTCTGGATGATGATGGCTTTCGTAGATCTCCAAGTTTCCTCCCCCATAGAGTAGAGTAGAGTCTTGACAATTTGTATTGAAAATTGTGACTTTCTAGTTGATTGGTAGTTGTGTAGTGAAGAACACAGGTGAGGGCAACCGAATTGTATTTAACGAAAATTACAGAGTTACTCAGTAAAATTGGAAAACCATATCGTAAATTGCTCATTTGCAAATCTTCAGTCCATCATCAATCCATTGTCTGACATTTCACTATTCATGCATTTCATACAAATTTCATTGTGTTCCCACTCTTCTTACTTTCTTGATCTTCCCCTATCTTCTGCTGCCAGACATTACGTTTACACTCACGTCATATACTACTTATAAGTAGCGCGCACCACAGTTGTTTTCAGTTCCAGATGTTTTACAATTGTAGAAATGCTGCCCTTTGATTTGCCAATCCACGCCATCGTAACTGAATCACATACACTTTGCTCTTTAATGATGCTGCTCAGATATGTGTAAAGGATTGTAAATCTTTCGAAGATTTACCGTCAACTGTGATTCGGTTGGTGCATATTGTGTTGTATCGTAAAATCTTGCTTTTCTCTTTATGTATGTTGAGACCTACTGCTGCAGAGGCTGCTGCTACACTGGTCGTCTTCTCTTGTATCTGTCGTTGCATGTGGGTTAGAAGAGTTAGGTCATCTGAAAAGTCCAGATCGTTCAGGTGCATCCTAGATGTCCATTGGATGCCGTGCTTCGCTCCAGATGTTGACGTCTTCATAATCCAGTCGATCAACAGAAGAAAGAGAAAGGGTGAGAGTAAGCAACCTTGCCTGACACTAGTCTTCAGCTCGAACGAGTTTGGCAGCTGTCATCTGTGCACGATTTTACAGTTTAATTCATCATAAGAATTCCGTATGATGTTGACTATCTTCTCAGGCACACCGTAGTGTTGAAGAAGCCTCCATAGTGTTGTCTTGTCCATGCAATCAAATGCTTTCTCGTAGTCAATTAACTTGATGTAGACTGATGAATTCCATTCAGTTGATTATTCTACAATCATCCATAATGTTACAATTTAGTCGATACTGTTCACTGATATGTGTTATTGTAGAACAGTATGTCTGAAAATTATAGCCGTTGCATGGTCGTGGTGATTTTCTCACGAAGAATTGGCTTGCGTCGCTAAATGAACTAGTGATAGTTAGTGAACTAGTTGAGCATTTTGGCTGCTTCACTTAGGATTATCATCAGTGTTGATAGCATCGTGTGTGACGAAATCTCAGAAGGGATAGAGAAATACCGTTTGACTTTTATCAACTAGCGTCAGTTGTGGCGTAGGCGTGATATTTATTTGCCGAACAAAGAACGAGATTACTGAGCAACAGTTCACTCTTTGTACATGTGAAACATGGCCACTGAGAATAGAGGATATTCGTGGATTACTACTAGAGTTTGATCATCGGTTTCTTTGAAGCATTGCTCATCTGTCCTGGGACCACAGATTAAACAATGCTAGAGTTACGAAAAGGGTACTAAGGAAAGACAGCAGGTCAATTGATAAATCTTTACCGGTTGAAATGGTTGAGACATGTGTCACATATGTCTAACCGCCGACTAGAAGGAGGCGGTTTAAAATCTATCTGTTAGATGCCGGCTCCGTAATAGAGATGAAGCGTTCGCGTGCGAGACTGAAAGCCTTGGGTTCGATTTCCGCTCAGCGGGGTCGCAGATGCTCACAGTCCACTAAGTGATCCCATACTCAGATGAAATAACCCTCCAGTGCATCCAAGTCTCTGATACTGGACTAACACTAATCGGTTCATTATTTCAATGAAACTCAACAATCTGTACAATAAAAAAATATTTCACATTAACTAATATAAAAAGATACAGAGGCACCACTCTTCTCTCAATACCAGGCAACGTCTTCAACAGTGTAATGCTAAACAGAATGAAAGATCTCGTAAACGTCCAGCTTCCAGATCAACAGGCTGGATTTCGTAAGGATCGATCATGTACCGACCGAATTGCAACATTACAGATCATTGTAGAAGAATAAATTGAAAGCAACTCACCACTCTAAATCAACCATATTGACTACCAGAAAGCATTTGATACCGTGGAAAGGACAATACTATTGAGGCTTCTTTGACACTCTGGAGTCTCTGAAAAGATAATCAACATACTACGATGGAATAAACTGCAAGACTGTGAACGGAGGAAAGCTGAGAGACTCGTTCCAGATGAAGACCAGTGTCAGGCAAGCTTGCTTACCATCACACTTTCTCTTTCTCTTGGTGAACAACTGGATTATGAAGACGTCGATATCTGAAGGAAAGCACGGGATACAGTGGACAGCTGGAATGCAACTGGACGATTTGAACTTCGCTCATGATCTGGCTCTTCTATCGAACACGAAACAGCAATTGTAGGATGAGACGACCAGTATAGCAGCAGCCTCAGAAGCAGTAGATCTCAATATACATAATGGGAGAAGCGAGATTCTCCGATACAATATAAGATGCGCCAACCAACTCAAAACAACTGCCAACCAACACCAAAGTCACAATTTTCAATCCAAATGTCAAGGTAAGTGTAAAATTGGAGAATCGCGAAGACCATCATCTAGAAGATACAAGTACTTAGAAACAATTGTCTTCGCAAAATACTTCGGATTCGTTGGCCAGATACCATCAGCAACAACGTACTGTGGGAAAGAACAAACCAGATTCCTTCAGTGGAGGAGGAAATCAAGAAGAAGCGGTGGAAGTGGATAGGACACACTACGAAAAGCACCAAACTGCATCACACGGCAAGCCCTCACATGGAACCCTCAAGAAACAATGAAAAAAGGAAGGCCACGGAATACGTTACGCCCAGAAATAGAGAAATATATGAGAAGAATGAACAAAAATTGGACAGAACTGGAAAAGAGAAGCCGAGGACAGACAAAGGTGGTTGGAGAAAACTGGTCGGCGGCCTATGCTCCAATCGGGGGTAACAGGCAAAAGTAAGTAAGTAAGTAAGTAAGTAATATAAAAAGATACAAATATATACTCAATTTACCTCCATTAACTTGATTTGTATCTAAATTCAAATGGATCGCTAAACCGAAACCACCAAGTTTCACTGGAGCTGAATTCTCTTTACTTGCTAAAATAATACAATGTGGTTTTAAATCACGATGAATAATATTATTCTCATGACAATAATGTACAGCTTCAAGAATTTGTCGTAGATAATGACTACAAAGAAAAAACACATTAAATTGAGAAGAAAACGAGAAAAGATAATTCAAGATTTGTATGTGATAAGGTCGGGAAGATTGTTGAGTTACCCATTTTTTTCAAATCATGAATTGATCAATCTTAGATTCGAGGAATCACAAAATATGAATGCACCTGCGCAATTTCAAACAGTTTCAAGCTGTGTCATTCAGGGTGTCTAACCATCGATTACCATCATCTCGCGAGCCCCAACCAGGTAGTCGACTACTACCGACATGACTCAGTCCACTTGTCAGTGACTTCATGGATTTCTGCCATGTTTTGGTTTGGCCGCTCCTAGCCTTTTTCCAACCTACTCCTACACTACAAAACATAGCTCGTCGAGGAAGTCGGTGTTTAGCCATACGTAACACATGTCCCCATCACCTCAACTGGTGAAGTTTCATCACTTCATTTATTGATTTGCCATGTTTACCTAGTACTCGTTTCCTAACGACAGCATTGCTTACTCGGTTGTCCCACGATATACGATCAATGCTACTAAGACGTCTATGATCGAAGACTAGTAACCTACGAATGTCCTCTACTCTTAACGGCCATGTTCCGCATCCATATAGGAGAACGGAGCAAACTGCTGCGCAGTACACCCGTCCTTTGGTTAGCGAACGGATATCTCGCCTACGACATAAACGGCATAAACTGGCAAATCCAATCGAGCCTTCTGTATCCGAGCTGAGATTTCGTCAGTCACTAGGCTATCAGAGCTGATGAGACTTCCCAGATAAGTGAAGTGATCAACACGCTTGACTACTTCACTCCCTATCACTAGTTCAGGTGCCGATGCAACCCAGTCTCGGAGTAACACTTTGCATTTCGGGGAGGGGAAACCCGCATCCCGAACATGCTTGCATTGTTGCTTAGGGTGGTCAGAAGACTCTGCATCACTGGTGACTATCTTCGTGAGGAAGTTTCATCGAGTTCCAATGATAAGTCGTGGTCAGTGAAGTTCACCTCTGTTCGGTTTTGAAGTAGTGCTCACAAAAAAAAAACAGTTGATGAGGTTGCACAAGACCGTGAATTGATCGAAGTTAGACATTAACACCTTCGAATGCCAGTACAGTGATCCAGAGATTAGGTGATTCGCTCGCAAGACCAAAGGTTCTGACTTCGAATACTACGAGTTGCAGGAGTTGTGGATGTGCATTGCTAATGAGTTCCATACCAGATCGACACGTCATTTCAGTACTCCCAGGTTTCTAATAATGATCTAACATTGTTCGATTCACGATTCGAAAAGATTAAAGTTTTTAAATGAATAAGTCAAAATGAAAGTGTTTCATGTAAATAAATCTTGGAAAAAGATTAGTCAACAAGTTCTTCAGTTGTTCGATGGTTGAATGTAATCACGAGGAAGGATTAAAATTTAGATTTCGAGTTAGTTGGTACCTTTGATTAGGAATTTACCTGAAAAATTGAGTTCATCTTTCTCATGTCTTTCTCTATGTCTCGGCGTAATGAGTTCTTTGGCTTTCCTCTTTTCCTTTGTTCTTGATGGTTTCAAGTGAGCGTAGATTGTTGCTGAAGGTGTCCGGTGAACGGATCTGAAGTATTTTGCGTACACAACTGTTTCAAAGTACTTATATCTTCTGGAAGATGGTCTTCGTGATTCTCCAAGTTTCTACTCTATACAGTAGAACTGTCTTGACATTTATATTGAAAATTGTGACTTTGGTGTTGATTGATAGTCGTTTTGAGTTGGTTGGCGCATGTTATGTTGTATCGGAGAATCTTGATTTTCCCGTTATGTATGTCGAGACCTACTGCTGAGGCTGCTGCCACACTGGTCGTCCTCTCTTGTATTTGTTGTTGAGTGTTCGATAGAAGATCCCGATCATGAGCGAATTCGAAATCGTCCAGTTGCATTCCATCTGTCCACTGTGTTCCATGTTTAGTTCCAGATGTTGACATCTTCATAATCCAGTCGATGACCAGGAGAAAGAGAAAGGGTGAGAGTAAGCAACCTTGCCTGACACCGGTCTTTACGTAAAACGATTCGGTCAGCTGTCTTCCGTGCACGGTTTCGCAGTTCAATTCATCATAAGAATTCCGTATGATGTTGACTATCTTTTCAGGCACTCCATAGTATCGAAGAAGCCTCTATAGTGTTGTCCTTACCACGCGATCGAATGCTTTCTGGTAGTCAATAAAGTTGATGTAGAAAGGTTAGTCGCATTCTATTGATTGCTCCACAATGATCCGTAATGTTGCAATATGGTCGGTACACAATCGATCCTTACGAAATCCAGCCTGTTGATCTCAAAGTTGGGCGTCTACGAAGTCTTTCATTCTGTTTAACATTACCCTTTTGAAGAAGTTGCCTGGTATTGAGAGAAGAGTGATGCCTCAAGACCGTAAAGGATATACATAGACGAGTATTTTTGCATAGGATTCGTTAGCCAAACAAACTTTCTCTTCCATTCTTGCCTTTACACTTACGTAGCTAGTTTGTAGGGTTAGTGTGCATTCCATTCGGATCTGAGACGTTGTACATTGTAACATAGATGATTGTCTTATTTACTCTAATACACATAGAATAATTTATGATCACACACAGTGAGTGAGTGAGTCAGTCAGTCAGTCAGTTAGACAGTCAGTTACAACATAGTACTTCGTAAGTACATACATCAGGTTCAGGTTGTTAACTGAAAACACAACTAACAGACTATGATGATAATGATAAAACGCACACACACGCACACACACACACACACTAGCTCACCTTGCCACTGCTTCACTATAAACAAAACCAGCTGTTGCACGTTTCACAATTTCAAATGCTAAATCAGCACCTTTCATACTTTGAGAAGAAGAACAATAATAAGAGAAACATGAACAGTAACATCATAATTAATCAATTCATCTATGATAATGATTATTTGCTACACGGTTGGGTAAAGTGCCATGTATATATACACTAACACTTATATAGAGAGAGCATTGTTGATAAATAACTTTGGTTGGAACAGAGTTGACAGAGACACAACACAGCACTTCGGACGTAAAAGTACATCAGCTCAGGTTGTCATGCCACATCAGCACAGAGACGCAACTGTCAGTTCAAATCCAACAGTGATAGCAATAATAGAAGTATTAGCAGTAATGGAGAAGATTAGGGAGCGAAGAAGATATGATTCGTTAAGTATAATTCAGTAAGATTAATTCAGAAGGTTAGAATTAAAAAGAACACAAAGAGTGGATGCACCTGCGCCATTGCAAACGATTCTGATCCATATCATTCAATGTCTCTAACCATCGGTGACTATCGTCTCGCGGACCCCAACCAGGTAACCTACATCTACCAACATGACTCAGTCCATTTGTCAGTGACTTCATAGATTTCTGCCACGTTTTGGTTTGACCGCCCCCCTAGCTTTCTTCCAACCTATTCCTACACCACAAAACAAAGCTCGTCGAGGCAGTCGGTGGTTAGCCAAACGTAACACACATGTCCCAACTACCTCAACTGATGAAGTTTCATTACTTCATCTATTGATTTGCCAGACCTACCTAGAACTCATTTCCTAACGATAGCATCGTTTATACGGTTGTCTCATGATTTTATAATGTAACCTTTCATAATTCAACTTTTATTGTGACAAAAAAAAATTAGACATGAAAGATACTGTCTTCCGGTCAATATATTTTTTTTTAAATTATAAACTTTATATCATTTTGATAAAAAATATAAAAAGAGAGTAATATACGTTAGTACACCAAAAAAAAATTAAGAAATCAGTAGTCTGTTTACTATTTAGAGAAATATTTTAATGTGGTTATGAGATCAGATGATTTTTAATGACATAAAGTTTAAAAATTGAATTCTACACTCTCTGTTTAGCATTAGCCTATAGAAACAAAACAAAAGACAAGAGAATTAAAATTCTATGCCTAACAATTTAGCCTAATACTAATTTGTTTTGAACACAGAAGAAGAACACAACACCTGTGGTGTGAGCTACTTATAAGTAGTATATGACGTGAGTGTCAACGTAATGTCTGGCACCAGAAGATGGGCGAAGATCAATAGAGGAAGTAGTATGGGAACACAATGGAATTTGTGTATGAAACTCATGAATAGTGACAGTGGATTGATGTTTTGCAACAGGAACAGTTCAGTTCGATATGATGGATTGATATTTTGCAAATTAACGATATGGTTTTCATATTTTACTGAGTAACTCTGTAATTTTCGTTAAATACAATTCGGTTGCCCCGCCTGTGTTCTCCTTCACTACACACCAATGACTACTAATCGAAAGTTTGTTGTTGTAATTCTGATATTCTTGTATATACTTACAAATTCAGATGATATCACGCCAATAAATGGAGTATAACAATGATATATACATATATCAAACAAGTCACGGTAAGTAAGGAAAGACTGGAAATAATAAACTATCAACAAACTAGGAACAGTAACTCGTATAATAATAACTTATAGGTTAATAGAAAGGAATGTGCATATTGATACTACACTAAGCAACAATGCGAGTATGTTCGAAATGCGGTTTTCCCCACCGAAATGCAAAATGTTGCTTCAAGACTCGGTTGCATCGTCACCTGAAGTAGTGATAGGGAGTGAAATAGTTGAGCGTGTTGACCACTTCACTTATCGTGGAAGTCTCATCAATGTTGACGGCCTGGTGTGTGACGAAGTATGAGCACAGATGCAGAAGGCTCGATAGGCTTTTGCCAACCTGCGTCACTTATGGTGTAGGAGAGATATCCGCTTCCTGACCGAAGGACGAGTGTACTACCCAGTAGTTCGTTCTGTCCTACTGTACGGATGCGAAACAGGGCCGTTAAGAGTAGATGTTCGTAGATTACTGGTATTCGATTATAGATATCTTTGGAGAATTGCTCGTATACCGTGGGACAACCGAGTAGGCATTGCTGTCGTTAGGAAACGAGTACTAGGTAAGGATGGCAGATCGGTAGATGAAGTAGTGAAATTTCATCAGTTGAGGTGGTTAGGACATGTGCTGCGAATGCTCACTGTTATTAGGAAGTTGTTAAAAAAAAAGATACAGAAAGATATTTATTTGCTCAAATGTTATTCCCTGTTTTTCCATGTTCAATGGAAACGTTTAAATTGTTTTAAAATAGATAATGATTAACCTGTGACCTTGTAAACAATCAAATTATTGTTTTAATTTTATCTCTTTTTTTTAAAAAATAAAACTAAATAAATTCCATTCAAAATACAAGAAAAAATAAACAAACTTACTATTCAAATACCATGTATAACATGCCATCACTACTGTAAGTTTCCACTAATTCAATAATATGTGGATGTTTTAATAAATGGCAAATACTCGCTTCACGTTTTAAATCTGAATTGATAAAGAGATAGAGAGAACAACAGTTAATTACAGGTAAATACACTAATCGTCAGTAGAAATATTCACTGTCGAATAAATACACACACTATGAACATAACTTACAGAGACCTTGAGAAGATTGTTAAATATTATGGTTTAAATCAGAAATTGATCTTAATTAAGCACATTTCTACCGCTATAGTGTATGAAACTTCTTAGTGTGACTCATTCGTAACCCTGTGGTAGCTTTTCAGGAGAGAAGCCTTGATTCATAGAATTTAACCATATCAGCTATGCAGGGAGTTATTTACCAGTGACATTAGAAATTTGTTGCGTACCATCATGAAACTAGTAGAGTCGAAAAAATGTAAGCCATTAGATTACACCTAAGTGGTTGAGAGATCTAAATGTGTTCGGTTCGATCCTTTATGTGGAAGTAGATGTACACTGTTGAGTATCATACTATGATGAAACAGCTATCAAGTGCTTCAGTTAGCTACAACATAGAACTTCGTATGTACGTCCACCAGCTCAAGTTACCATACCACATCAGCACATAGAGATCGAATCGTCAATTCAGATCCCATAGTGATAGAGATAGTAGAAGTATGAGCAGTTATCGGAGAGATTAGGGTTTTAAGATATGATTAAAGAAGTATAACCAGGTGTAGAGAAAGAAAAGCGATCATGAGGAATTGAGAGGATTAGAATTTGAGAGAAGACAAACAATGAATAATGCATCTGCGCCATTGCAAACGATTTTGAGCCATGTCATTGAAAGTTTCTAACCATCGTTTACTATCAGCTCGCGGAAGCCAACCTGATAGTCTACTAACATGGCTCAGTTTAATTGTTATCGATTTCACGGATTTGTTCCTTGTTTTGGTTTGACCGCTCCTTCCAGCCTCCTTCCAGTCTACTCCTAGATCAAACAACACCGCTTGTTGAGGCAGTCGATGGTTAGGCATTCGTAACACATGTTCCAATCACCATAATGTTTCATATTTTTTTAATCATTATCTAAGTTCAGATGATGATAGAAACTAAGGGATTCAACATTTTCTGAAAACCTCTTAAGCAATCAAACTTTCCTCCAGTGAAAACCAACACAAGGTAGATAACTTAGAATAGAGTTATTGGTTAATAAGCAAAGTGAGCGATTCTTAAAGTTAACCGTTAAAAATAGTTGTACCATACAATTATTCCAATAAAATGCTTAGACAAACGAACAACACATGAATAATGCATACGTTCATTTCATTTTGCTAATTCACTTTTATTAGGTAAATTATATAAAAATGACAGAAATTTTATTCGTATTCAATTATACTATTTATTAACTTATTTAAGTAGTTTTTATTTAATATAACACTACGTTAGTTCATTTTTATTTTACAAAAATCTCTTTTTTTGAAATTTAAATATAAAGACTTTTTGAAAATAAAATTGAAACAACAAAGTGTTTTAAAAATTCAAGAGATCTTAATGGCCTATTTACAACTTGATTTTCAAATTCGTTTTTCATGAACGTGTAACCAACATTAAATACATAAAGTTTGCTTTGTATTCGTCTGGATGAAGGTGTACGATGTCAGGATCCAGTGAAAATATTACATGGGATATTTATTTGTTGATGCACTATTGTAAGAAATAGGTCGACTGGAGAAGGACAGAATCAGAAACAATAACTTGTAGTTTGAGGATGAAGTTGTACTGCTGGCTGTACTGGGGTATGTGAAAGAAATATGATAAGTCTCTTAGACAAGCAACATCTGTTGACTTTAAACCTTTGTTTTGATTGTATCCCCCTCTGGATCTGTCTCTTGAGATTCTATGTCACCTATGATTTAAGGTTAACAGTAAATAATCAAGATTGACGTTAACAGAACAGGCTACGGGTCAAACGTGGAGGAATTTGAATACTTCACTTCTCTACCTGAAGTTTGTGCTGATGATGTTGCTCAGAAGAAGAAGAATGAAAGCTCCACTACTGAAACATCCAGCTCCGAGAACCACACACCACCGCAATCATCTGCCTGAGCTAAAAACTTTCTTCACCATTCCATAAGCAACTGGTTTCAACCAGTCGTTTATTGTTTCACTCTGAAGTGACGCTCTCAGTTCACGAATAATATTTTAATCCCAAATTGTCTTCTGATCTCTTAAGAAGTAGTATACTATGGAGATGTTAGCAATCGGGAAACGATAACCATGAAACACACTCCTAGCAGTTACCCAAGAACAAATTTCATTAAAATTAAACTACTGACGTAAATATTTCAATGAAATTAGGCTATCAAGGAACAAAAAACTCCATTTTCAAATAGGCTATAAATAATTTCCGAATTTTTTTTTTCCAATGTTGCTTTAATGAATATCAAATCAAAATAAAAAATTGAATTCATTTTGAAATTGTTTAACTGAATGCGCAAAAATCACAGATTTACTTGTAGATAATTGGAATTTCAAAAGATGATTGTTAAAACTATAACTAGGTTAATAAAAATTAACATTATCATTGTGACGATGTCTACTACGAGCCAATCAGAAATGGTCAAAAGGGGAAGGTCATTTGATGAACATGAGAAATGCCCTACATCACATTGATCAAGATAGGGAACAATTTTCTGAGAAAGTGGTGCATATATATATATATATATATAGACGAGTGTTGGTACATATTATTCGGTTACCGAATAAACTATCTCATCCAAGTAGCTAGTTTCGAAAGATTAGTGCGCATCATATTCAGATCTCGGACACCGCACAATATAACACGTATCATTTGGAAATACATGTTCTTTTATCTTACAATATCTTAAAATTTATACCATTAGTTTACTTAAAATCAGTGTGGCATGTTACGTGGATATTTAGTCCAACATACAGACGACGAAGTTGTCTGGATTGCTTGTAACGCGTGGAACTAGTAGAGAAAGCGAATTCCGATAAGGTGTACAAAATAAATTTGAGAGTAGACTAGAAAACATTATTTAAAATCAACCATTAAACATAAAAGAGCCTAAAATTAAAAATGGAGGGAGAGTGGAGTATCTTACCAAAATTCATGACGATTGGGAGATAATCTCAATCTACCCATGTCTGTGTGGCAGAACATTTTGTTTGCTTACGGCTCCTTACGATATAAAGCAGGATGGAACAAATCAGTGATATTCATGTTACTATTTCTTCCACTCTTGCCATCTCACCCAAGTGGCCAGTTTCACAGGCTTAGCGCGCATCACATTCAGATCTCGGACAACGCACAATATAACACGTATTATTTGGTAATACATGTTCTCCAGTGTTTATTTGGGTTTTCAATTATTAGAATCATTGAGAAATACTGTATAATGTGGAGACAACTGTGAATACACATTTGAGAATATTAAAGATTCCCGTTGTGAAAATTATAACAACATATATAAGCGAACAATATTGATTTGGATTAGATCGTCATCAGGCTTTCCTCTAACATACAGGAATATTGATATAAAAATGTTAAACCAATCAAGGCAATTGAGTATGAGTCGATAATCACAATGAAATAGATTACGTCACTACACATATAATAGGCAAAAGTACAAGTGGGTAGTAGGAGGAAGACAGAGCTGTACTGATAGTAGTAAGAAAATTATAAAATGTGATAGCTAAAGTTTTATCAATTGTAAGTCAAACGTGGATGAATGCAGAAGCCATAGGAATACGTACATTCAACCCTAATTTATGTGTTCAAAAGAAATTCGTGACACCCCTATCTCTTCCGTGGCCGGATATGACGTAACTAACGATTGACACTATATATATATATATATATATATTTGAAATCATCAATCACTCTCTGTTAGATCACCATTAGAAACGTGGAAGCACTGGACGGCCGTTTCGTCCTGGTATGCGACTCATCAGCAGTGCGCATCCACGACTCCTGCACGCCACAGGATTCGAACCCGGGACCTTCGGTATTGTGCGCGAACGCCTAACCATCGGACCAATGAGCCGGTATCTACTGGTGTTAATGTTTAACTCTGATTGATCTAGGGATTTTTGCGTGACCTCACCCATTTGCCTCTGGTAGTTATATATCAAAATCGATCGATTAACATTTGTTTAATAAGCGTGTATTAAGCAAAAAACAAGTATGATCTATTTCAGAGCAAATCTATAACCGTTCAATTTGGGTGTAACATAGATTTGTTCGAAGTAATCTAATTTTTTTTTCATAAAAAATTATTTTTCCTCTCAGGGGAATTAATAATAATTATGGGGTATGGGGTATGTTATTCATAAAAATATGATCATGAAATCAATTAGAAATTCTACTGTTTTTTTTCTAAAAAAAAATAGCCTGTTCAGATTTCAATGTCACATTTAAAACAATACGTATATTACTTACTTACTTACTTACGCCTGTCAACCCCCCCAATGGAGCATAGGCTGCCTACCAGTATTCTTCAACCTACTCTGTCCTTGGCCTTCCCTTTCCAGTTCTGTCCAATTTTTGTTCATTCTTCTCATGTCTTTCTCTATTTCTCGGCGTAATGTGTTCCTTGGCCTTCCTCTTTTCCTTTCACCTTGAGGGTTCCATGTCTTATGACGCAGTTAGGTGATTTTCATAGTGTGTGTCCTGTCTACTTCCACCGCCTCTTCCTGATTTCCTCCTCCACTGGAATCTGGTTTATTCTCTCACGCAATAAGTTGTTGCTGATAGTGTCTGGCCAACAGATCCGAAGTATTTTGTGTAGACAACTGTTAATAAACACTTGTATCTTCTGGATGATGGTTTTCCAAGTTTCCGCTCCATACAGCAGAACTGTCTTGACATTTGTATTGGAAATCCTGATTTTGGTTTTGGTTTATATTTTTTTGGAGTTCCAGATATTTTTCAATCGTAGAAATACAGCCCTTGCTTTGCTGATCCGTGCCCTTACATCTGCATCGGATCCACCTTGACTGTCGATGATGCTACTTTAAGACTACATGTATACTACTTATTTTTTCTGGTTAGAGTA